AGAATTTAAAAGCCATATCAACCACTGCACCAGTTTTAGCTACACCAAGTCGCTACCAATGTTAGCGATATAGGGGTTGGAGCTGTGTTGATGCAGGAGTATGATGGCAGAATTGAAAGGCTAATTGGATAGTTTTCGAAGAAAGTCAATATTCATCGGAGAAAATACTCCACTGTTGAAGGAGAATTATTGAGTTTGTTATTGGCCTTACCACATTTTAAGGCTTATGTTACGAACAATATTTCAGAGATGGTCATGTATACAGACTACAACCCTCTCACCTTTTTGGAAAGATTGAAGGACAAAATATGAGATTATTTCATTGTAGTCTTATGTTACAGGCTCTTAATTTACAAATTGTACACGTTGCTGGACAGAAAAGTGTGGCAGATGCATTATCTTGGGTTAAAGAAAATGTGTAGATAAAATAGAACGGGTACCGTCTAATGTTATATATATTTAGAATTAGCATGAAAGGTATAACCTTAGAGTATTGAACTATGTATTTCATGGTAATAGTGTTAAGATTTAGAAAAAAAAAGCCATCTTTTAATAATGATGGTTCATTTTTTCTTAAGTGGGAAGGGGTTACGAAGTTGAGTAGAGTAATTGTGAAGTGGAAGGCAGGAAGCTAAAATGTGTGGTTCCTTTAAGAGATTTGTGCTTTGTCCTAATTTGTGTTTACAGACAAAGAAATTTTTTAAAAACGTATGTCTGTGAGCAGCAGCTGCATTTGCCAGTATAGAGAGCCTCAAAAACTGAAACAAGTGCATTAAAAGCCTTACAGGTGGCAGGCAAAACAGCAGTCTTGTTTCGATGTCATGACGATGAGTTTGAATTTGGCCGATTAATTTAAACAAAGCACCTAAATACAGAAAGCCAATTTATTTTAAATTTGATGGTGTTGACAACCTGAAACCGATCACATTATAAGAATCTGATGATGTCATCACAGGTATATAAGACGAGGGCATTTGGAAAATTGGAGAGACACAACTGCCATCTGAGAGAGTCATCCACCACCTGCCAGAGTTAGCACCATTCAGCTCTCAGAGAAAGCCCGTCTATTTAATCAAAGGTATCATGGTATTTTAATTCAAAGTCCTCATTGAAGAAATTATAGAGATAAAACATACCTGACAGCAGAATTAATAGACGAAAGGCATTTGTGAAGAGACTGGAGATGACAGAATATTCCAGAAGACAGTCTGTGTGAACTTGGAGAGATTAAATTATAATTTATTGCTTCTTATTAATTGCATTTAACATTCTTGGGACCTGTATTTATTTAAACAGTATTCCAGTAGAATTTAGCCAAGTTAAGGAGTAGTTAGTAGTCTAAGGAAGAATTGTCAGCATGTTAGTAATTTTGTTAAGTTGTTCATTGTTGGGTTAATTAAATAAATTGTTTCTTGTTACTTGTAAAGTGGAAATCAGGGATTTTCTTTCTTTTAACCCTCTTTTAATAGATTATGAGGGGAAAGACAAGCTTCTCTTAGTGTTTTGGGGGTAATTTTTCGATTGCAACCCCTACTCCTGTCATAACAGATCGGGGCTTGTGTTTCAGTTTGATTATCAGAGGGGTTCAGCCATTCCCCATCATAACATAACAGTGTATCCTTCCTCTGTTTTTCTAAACTTTCTTGGAAAATTTGGGAAGCATCTTCAAATCCCAGAACCTCTTTAGCAATGCTAAGAGCCATTTCCCTCACTTATAATTTAACCAAGGACAAGTAACAAAAATTAAATAGAGTTTTCTCACTTAAGTTTTATTTAAAGATCTGGGACAATAATCCCCCAAGTCTGTTTAAATCTGTCCAAACCAGTCAGATCCATTCAAATCTTGTACACGAACTGGCCAGAATCCAGACTTGATCTGTCCAAATCTATCCAGGTCCTGGACAAGCCCCCAATCTGTTACAGAGAAGGGGAAGGTTGAACCCCTCTGATAATTAACACAAAACACCAGCCCCAATTTGTTACGATGGGAGTAGAGTCCCTTCCAATAATTAAACCTGAAACACCCACAGAGACTCGCCTTGCCCTTGTAATCTGTTAAATGAGTAGTTAAATGAAAGGAATCCCTGATACACATTTGATAAGCAACAAGTAACAATCTATTTATTTAACCCTAACCATGAACAAATTAATGGAACTACGAACAAACCGAACAATTCCCCTCTGACTACCAACCATTTCCTAGTAAAACAAGATTCTAATTGTATGCTGTTCCAATAAATACAGACCCCATTTATATAAATCCAAGTAATAAGAAACAATAAATTAAAACATAGTCTCCAAAGTTCACGCTGAATGTGTCTTCCAGAATGCTTTGCCTTCTCCATTGTCTCTCCAGCCTTTCTTCTGCTGATCCTGCTGTCAGAGATGTTTTCTCTGTAATTTCTTCTGTCAGGACTCTTAGCTAGAAGTGCCGTGGTACCTTTGATGGTGCTTTTAATTAAAGAGAGCTGAATGATTTTGTGTGAGAGCTAGGTTTATTTCTCAGATGGCGGATTTGCTTTTGCTTCAGTTGGCAATTAGCTGTCACCCCAATTTTTAAAAAAAAACGCTTTTTATAGACCGTCAATGACACATCAATTTCTTATAATATGATTTGTTTCAGGTTGTCAAAACCATCAGTTTTAAATTCAATTGGCTTTTAATCACTGGTTTAAATTAATTGGTTGAGTCTATCTTGTTGCCAAAACACCTAAACAAGACTGCTGTTTTGCCTGCCAACTGTAAGGCCTTTCTGATACACTTATTTCAATTTGGGGCTCACTGTATAGCACTTGAAAACTTCCAAGCACGGACAAAGCACAATCTTTTAGAAGGACCACGCACTGCTTTACCCCACTATCATTTTTACAAAAAAATTCTAACTTCATGCCTTCCAATTCATGAGTATTCTACACAATTCATAACACCAGGACTGGATGGTTTGAGTTATAAGGATAGGCTGGATAGGCTGGGACTTTTTTCAATGTAGGGTAGGAAGGTGAGGGGTGACCTTATAGATGCTTATAAAATCATGGGGGGCAAAGATAAGGTGAACAACAAGGGTCTTTATCCTAGGGTGGGGGAGTTCAAAACTGGGAGGTATATTTTTAAGGTGAGAGGAGAAAAAGGATATGAGCAGCAACTTTTCCATGAACTGCCAGATTCACAGACATAGTCATAGTGATATACAGCACAGAAACAGACTGTTTGATCCAACTTATTGATGTCGATCAGATATCCTAAATTAATCTAGTCCCATTTGCCAGCATTTGGCCCATATCCCTCTAAACCCTTCCTATTCATATACCCATCCAGATGCCTTTTAAATGTTGTAATTGTACCAGCCGCCACCACTTCCTTCTGGCAGCTCATTCTATACATGCACCACCCTCTGTGTGAATAAGTTGCCCCTTAAGTCCCTTTTAAATCTTTCCCCTTTCACCTTAAATCTATGCCCTCTAGTTTTGGACTCCCCTACTGTGGGGAAAATACCTTGACTACCTATCCATGCTCCTCATAATTTTATAAACTTCTATAAGGTCACCCCTTAGCCTACGACACTCCAGGGAAAAGAAATGATAGATGCAGGTACAGTTAAAGCATTTAAAAGACATTTAGATAGGTACATGAAAGGAAAGATTTAGAGAGATATGGGCCATTTACAGGCAAGTGGGACTAGTTTAGGAGAAAGTAGGAACTGCCGATGCTGGAGAATCTGAGACAACAAGGTGTAGAGCTGGATGAACACAGCAGGCCAAGTAGCATCAGAGGAGCAGGAAAGCTTTTTTAGTGGGAGGAATTGAAAGATAAGTTGCTAAGGGTGAGGACGAGTTCAGCTAAGTGGATGAGGGTGTCAGTGGAGGGGGACTGGTCCTCTGGGATGTTCAGGTCCATTGTACCCTGAAGGTGGCAACGCAGGTCGATAGAGTGGTCAAGAAGGCATACGGCTTGCCTTCATTCATCGGACAGGGTGTTGAGTACAAGGGTTGGCAGGTCATGTTACAGTTGTATAGGACTTTGGTTCCACCACATTTGGAATACTGCGTACAGTTCTGGTTGCCACATTACCAAAAGGATGTAGATGCTTTAGAGAGGGTGCAATGGAGGTTCACCAGGATGTTGCCTGGTATGGAGGGTGCTAGCTATGAAGAGAGGTTGAGTAGATTAGGATTATTTACATTAGAAAGACAGAGGTTGAGGGGGGACGTGATTCATGATTTTGTAGACCTCAGATGTATAGACAGGGTAGATAGCAAGAAGCTTTTTCCCAGAATGGGGGACTCAGTTACTAGGGGTCACAATTTCTAGGCGAGAGGGGAAAAGTTTAAGGGAGATATGCATGGAAAGTTTTTTATGCAGAGGGTGATGGGTGCCTGGAACGTGTTGTCAGCAGAGGTGGTGGAGGCGGGCATGATAGCGTCATTTAAGATGTATCTAGACAGATACATGAATGGGCAAGGAGCAGAGGGATACAGATGACAGGTTTAGATAGAAGATCTGGATTGGCACAGGCTTGGAGGGCCGAAGGGCCTGTTCCTGTGCTGTAATTTTCTTTGTTCTTTGTTCTTGTTCTTTGATCAACCATGTAATAAAAAGAAATTGGAGCCTCTACCATCCCTATCCATTGCTGTAAGAATAGTGAGGTTTTCTTTTGTATCCTGTGAGTGGTTACCCCTTAATGAACATCTCTTTGCTGTTGGTGAGACTTCCTGCTAAAATTGGCTGTTATGATTCCTGCATTACAAGGTCAAAAAATTATTTATTGGCTGTAAAGCATTTTGTGATACCCTGACATAAATAAAAGTGTTGTATAAATGTAAATTCTTTGTTTCATAAGTTATGAGCTTGTCTTCATTTTAGTAACCTTAGAAAGTTTTATTTTAAAACCTACCTTTCACATTGGTGTGAATGCAGCAACAAAAACTGCCTGTCATCCTCCTGAATTATTTAATAGCCCTATCGCTAACATTTTGAAGAAGCAAAAGTACAATGCTTAGCAATCAACTTGAAAATCTATTTTTTATTCTGTTTGTTTCTATTCAGTTTTTGAGAATCATTTGTTTAAATGTTGAGTGCTTCATTATTATCAAGGGATCACTGATGGGTGATAATTACCTCACCATCATTTATGAAATAGTCGTAAAAGCAGAACTGCTGTGTAATTATAAATGTAATTGTGAATTGAGATCATTTGCATTGTAGGACTAATTTTTTAAAATCGTCCTTTGGTTTGCATATCACGCATGAACACTTTGGTGACTCTTTTCTGGTGGCACCGAGGTTCCTTTTCTCTTTTTGACAAGTCTTTCCACCTCCCTCATGAAACAAAGACACAGTTCATCATGCCAGGGTAATGCCACGCACTGCACAGATAAAGGAAGACCAACACTTCCTGTCACAGCCTGAAATACAAGTAAACCAAAAGTATCAGTATTAGAATTCTGAGGTAGGAATTAAAATTCTCCACTCATATATAAATTTAGTTTAAGTTAACACAAGCCATTTTCATGACAACTGTTACTGCAAAGTTGATTCATTTGATACTGCAAGAAGTCAATATGCTTATCATCAAAATGTTGCATTTTTTACCTTCTTCATGTGATTTTACAAGGTTTCATACATATGATCATAAGACTTCAAGTAGGGGGAAGTCATCCATAGTTTTAATTTTCTAACAATCCCTACAGCTGGGAGGATCCCATTAGATTGGAAGACAGCTAATGTAACTCCCTTATTCAAAAAAAAGGGAGACAGAAAGCAGGGAACTACACGGCAATACATATAATGTTGAAAATATTAGGAACTATTTTTATATTTATAAGGACACATAGTTAAGTTCATGTTATTCAGGCAGCATCAACATAGTTTTGTGAAAGGGAAATCATGTTTGACCAATCATTGAGGAAATACCATGTGTTGTGGATAAAGGAGAACTGCTGGATGTATACAGATTTCCAGGATTGTTATATCCAAGGTTATTGTGGAAACTAAATGCTCACAGAGTAGGGAGAAGCATATTGACATGAATAGAAGGTAGGGTTGGCAGACAGGAAGCAGTGAGGAGGATAAGTAGGTTTTTTATCTGGTTGGCAAGATGGAATAACAGGTGTACCACATGGATCACTGTTTACAATTTATAGGAATGACTTGGATGAAGGGTGGAAGATATGAATGCCAAGTTACTGATTACACAAAGATAAGCAAGAAAGTAAGTTGTGAAGAGGACATGAAGACACTGCAATAAAAACAATGTAGGTAGGTTAAGTAAGTGGGCACAGATCCTGTAAACGGAGAATAATATGGAAAAATGTGAATAGTCAATTTTGGCAGGAAGAATAAAAAAGCATATTATCTAAATTGTGATGGATCACAGAGCTCTGAGATGCAAGGGGATCTGTGCACCCTGGCGCATGAATCACTAAAGGCTAGTATGCAGGTACAGCAAGTAATCAGGAAAGCTAATAGAATTTTGTTGTTTATTGTGAGGAAGATTGAAAACAAAATTAGGGAGATTATGCTTCAATTATACAGGAGCACCTCTGGTGAGATCACCTCTGAAATACACAGTACAGTACTGGTCACCTTATTTGAGGAATGATGTAAATGCATTGGAAGCAGTTCAGAAAAGGTTTACCACACAAACCTGGAATGAGCAGGCTGGACAGACTAGCTTTGTGTCCTCTGGAGTTTTAAAGAGTAAGAGGCAACTTTGTTAAAAAAAAAGATAAGGGGTCCTGAGGGGTTTTAACAGGGTAAATGTAGAGAGAATGTTTCCTCTTATGGAAGAATCTAGAACTAGATGTCATTGTTTAAAAAGGGGTAGCTAATTTAAAACAGAGATGAACTGAACATTATTTGGAATTCTCTTCCTGAACAAGAATTGGAAGCAGAGTCTTTGAATACTTTTGAAGTAGAGGTAGATTTTTCCTTGTTAAGAAAGGGGCTAAGAGGTTATTAGGAATAGGTGGGAATGTGTGTAATCAGATAAACTATAACAAGCAGGCTCAAGGTCTGAATGGCATTATCCTGCTTCTAGTTCATACGTTCATACATAAGACTGGGCTTCAAACCTAACATGCTGGTAACCACTTTGTTCCACTGTTGGGAGGACCTAGCCTTGGATCTGTCTCCCCAAATATCCTGCATCATCCTTCCACCGAGACCTCATGATATCGTCATGTTGGTGGTGCCCATGCACTTAATTAAATACTAACCCTTTCAGATCCTTCGAGACCCATGTACCACAACTGGTAGGTCGATGCCATTGTGTAATGCCAGATCATAAAAGTCCCTCCCCATTAAGTTTCCAGCAATGCAATTGCAGCCTTGGAATTTCTAGGCAATATGCTGAGACTTTGAGCATCAAAAAGATGGGTTGTTGTTTACGAATAAACCTGATATTAAATAATCCCACAAATACAGAAAGAACAGAAATTGTACTACAAAGCAACATAACACTGCTCTACTTATTTCACACTGACCTTTTTGAAAGTTTTGTCCCAGAAATCATTTGTATAGCCATTATAAAGTTGCAGCTCTTCCTCATCTTCTTCTGTTACCTTGGTAACTGGCACAACCCCCGCAGGAAAATTTAATAAATTGAAAATAATTGTGTAGCTAGATGCAGCTGTGGAGAAGAATATTTTTAAACTTTGTAATTTTATATTTTTGTCTTTCTTACAATCTCCCTGTATAATAAAGAATATGGTGTTCTATCATATGATTTTGCATAATATTTGAAAGCTAACCCACTGACTTGCAGTTTAAAAAAATTGGACCTGTATCACAGAACATGATTCTAAACAAGGGTAAGAATTGATATAATAAAGCATGAAGGGTAAAATAAAGTAAAATAAAAGACAAGGACAATAAGCATGCAAGGGATTAAAGCAGAATTAGTATAGTTTGGAAAATTACTGAGACACTGCATACATTCATAACTACAGATGTCCCAGGGCAGGGAATGGAAGACACATAGAATGACATTTTCTTCTTTGACAAACTGACTGGTAATAAAGGAAAAGAAGACTCTGAAGCTGTGTTTGTTGAGATAAGGTGTAATTAGGCATATATGACTCCCAAAGATAACATGGGGGAGTTTGCATATGGCTTCGGCTTGCAACTCAGGAGACACTATCGATATTCATAAATAAATCTTCAGTGAACTCCAGAACAATGACTGGGGTAACTCTCAGGACAAATTCCTAAAGTCAGGGCTTGTACCTTCTGACTAATCAGGACATTACATGCCATTTAACAACAGCTAATTAGAAAATTAATTAGTGTGACATGTACTAAGGCTAGTGGTAGGTAGATTGTCCATCCAGAATGATTATGTAACTGTATTTTACGTATAAAAGTCATTATTTGTCCATTTATATCTTGGACCCAGACTGCTAAGGGTGTACTCTGTTATTTAACATTGTCAATTTGGCCTTTCAAACATTATCTGACTTATTCTGCAATCATTAAACATAAAACTTTTATGAGGGTATAGTCCAACAACAATTTGTATTCACATGGCACTCCTAACTTAGTTAAACATTTCTCAGTAGCTCTATGAACAAAATTTGATTCTGAACCATGTAAGGAGATGTAAGGGCATGTGGCCAAAAGCTTGATAAAAGTGATCTGGTTTAAGAAGTGTCTAAAAGGAATAAATAGGGGTAAAGGGTTTGAGATGTTTTAGGAAACAGTTCCAAAGCTTAGGGCTTAGGGAATGATACAGTGATTAAAATCAGGAATGAACAAGAGACCAGAATTGAAAGAGAACCAAGATTTCAGGGATGCAAAGGAGGGGTTTCAGATTTAGGAAGTGGCAAGGCCAGAGAGGGGTTTGAAATGAAAAATGAGTATTTTAAAATCAAACTTTTGCTGGGAGTCAATGCAGGTCAGCATGGACATGGGTTATGGGTGAAGAGAACATGGTGTGAGTTAGGATTTGGGAAGTGGAGTTTCAGGTGAGAGGCCAACCAGCAGTGTGTTGGACTTTTCATGTCTCAAGGTAACTGAGGCACAATAATAGTTTCAGGAAGAGTTGAACTGAGGCAATGACAGTGTTTGGCAATATTATAGAAGTGGAAATAGATGGAATTAGTGATCAAGCAGATACATAGTTCATCTCTGAATCAAATACTAAGGTACTGATTGGTCTGGTACAATCTTAAACAGTTACCAAGAGGAGGATGGAGTCGCTGGATAAGGAATGAAATTTGTGGCAAAGTTTGAAAAGAAATGGCTTTCATCTAGATAATATTTTGCCGGAGGAAACCTCTGTTAATTCAATACTGGATGTCAGACAAGCAGTGTGAAAATTTAAAGAGAGTGTAAGGGTCATGAGAGAGACAATGGCTGAGTGGTATTATCACTGGACTGTTGATCCAGAGATTGTTAATCCAGAGACCCAGATAATGTTCTTAAGACCCAGGTTCAAATCCTGTCATGGCAGATGATGGAATTTGAATTCACTTAAAAATATATGGAATTAAGAATCTCATGATGACCATGAATCCATTGTCGATTGTCAGGAAAAACCCGTCTGGTTCACTAATGTCCTTTAGGGAAGGAAACTGCCATCCTTACCTGGTCTGGCCTACATGTGACTCCAGACCCACAGCAATGTGGTTGACTCTGAACTGCCCTCTGGGCAATTAGGGATGGGCAATGAATGCTGCCTGGCCAGCGACGCCTTCATCCCCTTAATGAATTTTTAAAAATATGGTGCTGAGGCAGAGCTGGATATTATTAGGTTACATATAGAAACTGCTGCTGCATTTCTGGATGGGAAAGCATGTTTTTGTGATATAAGAGGGGACCAAGCAGTGATCATCAATGATTGTCAGGCCTTTCTGCCTCTTTGGGAGGATTCTACAAATATTGACAGACTCCCAAAGATGGTATTGGTACATTCCTGAGGACCATATGTCCTTACTGGCAATACAGGTTTGCCAGATACCCAAAGAAAACCATTTGCATGAAACATTTGGCAATTGATTTGAAAGTGTTGGTTAGTCTGCAAAAGAGGAAGATACAGAATAAAAGTGTTCTACAGAATGTTCAAGACTGGGCTTGAGAAGGGTTGCCTGGACAGAGACAGAAATCACCATGGACCCTTGGAAGACATTCAGCTCCATAGGATCCTACCTCACTATGACATAAACACAAGATATTATAATTGTGAATTCTCCACACCATAATGAAAAGTCTAACTGATCTTCCTTTGGTGGGCTATTATTTTCCGTCAGTTGAGGTGGCAAACAAAACGCCAACTCAGAATTATGCTGATATCTTAAATGCCCCTCTGACATATTTATGGAGATATGGTGGCAACAGTGATAATGCCATGCTAACTAGTAATCCAGAAACTCGGGCTACATCCCTGAAGGATAAGGTTTCATGGTAATAATATTCTGGAATATATGAGGCTAGACTCAATAATGGTGACCATGGCAAATACAATTGATCGTTGTAAAAACCCAGCTGGTCCACTGCTGTCCTCTAGGGAAGGGAATCTGCTGGTCTTACCTGGCCTGATCTATATGTGACTCCAGACACACAACAATGTGGTTGGACTATTAATAGGCCTCTGAACTAGCCTAGCAAGACAGTCAGTTCAAGGGCAATTAACTTCAGGCAAAAAGTACTGGCCTTGCCTGTAATGCCACATACCATGAAAGAATAAACAAAAATATGACTATCCATTGCTCAGTTGTGTGGTCTATCTGAATTACCTCTGAGTTAATTCAATGGTGCGTGTGAAACTATTGTTCTTTCTCTGATACAACCATGTACTTGCTTGTGAAGTAGATAATCCCAAGTTGTTGCCTACCTGACAGTTTTCCAGCACAGCCAATTTTAAAAGCAGGACCTATCGATGGACAGAGTAGGACTTCAATGTTATGCTTTCTCCATGCATTCAAATACTCATCACGGTAGTCCTACACGAAATACAAAAATGTGACCTCATTAATGGTGCCAGTTTATTCTGAAGTTAACTGCCCAAGAAGTTGGAGGTAACAATTTGAGAACAGAGCTGCCTTGAAATTGTGAACTTCAGGATTCTGAAGTGGCTTGACAGGGTTGATAGTTGCAAAGATGTTTCCACTAGAGGGGAATCTTGAACCAGGGGCATACTCATAGAATATGGGGACACTCATTTAAACAGGCTGATTCCTTACACTATAAGTTCAATGTCAATTCTGTATTTTAAACATCAGAAGTCACTTAACATCAGGAATTATTCAGCAAGGATGCGATCTTGAGAACAAGGAAAACTCACTTCCCTCAAAAATAATCTGAGAGATAGAAATATGTTTATTATTAGCTGGTGGAGTCATTTTTACAGTATCATACCATACACACAAAGTCCCAGACACCATCATCACCATCCCTGTGCACATCCTGCTCCACTAAAAAGACAAAGCTAACAGAAGAGGGGGTTGGCACAATGATATACAGTTAGGAAAGCGTCCTCAACATTGGCTCTGGAGCCAGGGAAGTCTCAGAACATCAGGTCAAACATGGGCAAGGAAACCGGCTGCTGATAACCACTATCACTGCCCCCATCACCTGATGAATTTGTACCTCTTCATGTTCTCTGCGTGGAGACCTCAAAGCCCATTACCAAGAGTCACTCATAAAGTCCTAAAACACATTGTTGCTAGACTGGGTCTTCGACAGCATCGCTGCGAAGAAATCAACAAGATTTTAAATAGATCTAGTAACTCAATCCATGAGCAATGGACTATTAACAGCAGAACTGTATTCAACGACAATCTGCAATCTCATGCGCAGCATATCCCTAGTCTATCATTACCATCAAGCCAAGAAATCAACCCTGGTTCAATAAAGAGTGTAGAAGGGAGACCAGGAGCAGCACCAGACATACCAAAAATGAGATATTTACCAAGTTAAGTACAGCACACGACAACTGAAGCAATGCATGTCCGTATGCAGCAAGATCTGGACAATATGCAGGCATGGGCTGACAAGTAGCAAGTAACATTCGTGTCACATAAGTGCCACATAATGACCATCACCAACAAGAGAGAATCTAACCATCGCCCCCTGACATTCAATGACATTAACAGTGTCGAACCCCCTGCTATCAACATCCTGGGGAGGGGTTACCCTTGACCAGAAAACTTAACTGGACTGGCTATATAAATACTTTGGCTACAAAGCAGGTCAGAGGCTAGGAATTCTTCTGCAGTGAGTAACCTCCTGACTCCTCCAAGATGCCAACCATGCATAAGCCACAAGTAAGGATTGTGATGAAATACTTTCCACTTGCTTGGAACGAATGCAGCCCTCAAGAAGTTCAACAATATTCCAAGACAATGTAGCCCAATTCATTGGTACCTTGTGTAATTCCTTCCACATTCAACATCTCCACCACCAATGCACAATAGCATCTGCAATCTGCACTGCAACAATTCACCAAGGTTCCTTAGATAGCACCTTCGAAACCCACAACTTCTAGCATGTAAACAGTCACGGCACCAACACCTACATGTTCCCATTCCAGCCAAACACCATCATAACTTGGGAACTACATTACTACTCCTTCACTGTCACAGAGTCAAGATCCTGGAATGGCCTTTATAATAACTCTGTGGGTGTCCCTACATCACATGGACTGCAATGATTCAAGAAAGCAGCTCACCACCACCTTCTCAAGAGCAGTTACGACTGGGCAATAAATGTTGGCCACACCAGCAACACACACATCTGAAAATGCATTTTAATACAAGTTGAATTAGATTCAAGTTGCTTAAAATAAATCTGAAAAGTACATAATATTATTACCTTAAAATAATATTGTGGTTTATTTAAGAAACAAATACAACTGACTGGTGCTGACAGCAATATTTCATCTTACCATCACAGCAAGGTGGAGCTTCCACAGTTCCTTAACCGACCTGTGAAAATATAGAAATAAGAACACTAAAGATACGATAGAAACAGTTTTTCTTAATCAAAATACAATGTGCTGATTTTAAGCCTCCTCCTATGACAGTGCCATTGGAGATGGATGGGTTCAGTTGCTGGGGACACAGGATAAGTGGGGCTATTGTCTAGCCATATTACAGAGATGTTCCCATCTAAATTTCAATTAATTCAGACCATTAAGACTTCAGAGATCAGGAGTTTTATTAAATTGGAAAAGTCACCCTATAGTGGCATCAGATAGACATGCCATCTCAAACTTACCGACAGAAGCTGGTAACTTTAGAGGGCCCAGGCATGCTTATGCTTTGCTTCTCTTGCATTTACAGGGATATATTGGTCATGTTCAGCCCCTCTGACCCCCAGAAGGATGATAACTTTTGCTGATTCTTTTGGTGGCCTACCATAGTGGCAAATCTTCTCACCTTCCCTTCCACACCACCACAATCTTTCCGCTCCAATCTGCAGAGGTTTGCATCACTTCCACAGGGTTCAGGCAGGAGGCAATGTCAAAGAGTGCAGTTCAGATCCATAGGTTCAACTTTCCCCAAACCTCTGCCAAATTTTCTGAATGGTGCAGTTTTGCAAGTTAACCCCATCACTCCCTCCATCAATGTTATGTTGGGTCAGAAGACTGTTGGATGATGAATTTTTAAAAACCAAACTGCTCTATTTAGATTTTTAAAAATGTCCATTGCATCTTTAATTTCCAATGCATCATCCTGAGAAATTTTCATAGAATTTATTTTTCTCTATGATAAATATTAATGTTATGACTCTTGATGCCTCAGCACAAAGAAAGAACGGATGGCCCAGTCCAACGACTAAAGAAATATTACCCACAGCCACCACTGTTTATTATTCAAAGATCATTAATTATTTACCCTGCTTTCTCTATTCACAGATGTTGACTGATCTACTGACAAACATGTTCTAATTTTTGTTTGTATTGTGAAAGGAAAGCAGTTGCTGTGATAATGGCTTATTGCAGTTGAAGGAATGAACACCAATGGTGGGGAGTAGGAAGAGGTTTGATGCACAAATAGTCAGAATTGGAGGAGTGCAGAATCTTTTGGTGTGCTGTCAGGCTGGTACAGGGAGACTTACCCAAGATAGTGGTTGCATTCAAAACACAGTTCTTTCAAATAATATTTTATATCTTTAATCTATGGTACAATATTTTACAAATGTACAAACAAGGAACAGGAGTAGACCATTCACTCACTCAACCCTGTTCCACCATTCAATAAGATTGTGGTTGATTCTGTTTGTAATCTCAATTTTGCAATTCCACCTATTTCTGATAACCTTTTTGTCCCTTGCATAGAAAGCACCCATCTACCTCTGCCTTAAAATATTCAAGGACTCTGTTTCCACAACCTTTTCAGGAAGATAGTACTAAAGACTACAGCCCTTTAAGAGAAAAAGTCACATCATTCAGTTTTGAATGTGTGACCCCGAGTTTTAAAACAATGATCTCTAACTCTAGAATCTCACATAGGAGGAAACATCCTTTCCTCACCTCTCAAGATTTCAAATGTTTCAATTAAGTCCTCTCTTAGTCTTCTAAACACCAGCCGATATTAGACTAGCCTGTGCAACATTTGCTCATAAGAAAATGTATTCATTCCAGGTAGAACTGCTTCCGAAGCATTAACATTCTTCCATAAATAAAGTGATCAATACTGTATTGAGTACTCCAAATGTGGTTTTTGCAGTGCACTATATAACTAAAGTGTAACCCCCATGCTTTTGTAATCAATTCCCGTGACAATAAATTATTAAATTCTCTTAGCTTTCCTAATTACTTGCTGTCCCTGCATACTGAACTTTTATAATTTATGCACTGGGGCACCTATATCCATCTGCACTTTAGACTTCTGTAATGTTTCACCATTTAGATAATATTATTTTTATAATTTTATTCTTCCTGCCAAATAGATAATTTCATATTTTCCCACATTATACTCCATTTGGCAAATCTTTGCCCAATCATTTAATCAAAATTCATTTTTTAAATATGCTTGTTGAATGTTTTGAAAATTGATCTATTTTGTAAGTTTACTTGTACACAGTTTGTTCTTCAGAGAACATTACCTTCTCAAACTTCTTCTGCAATATGATTTATGAATGATCAGCTCTAACAATGAAAGAGATAACCAACATTTTTATTAAAGTATACAATCATACAACTTTTCATTCCATTTTGTAATTCAATACTCACCCTATTCCAGTCATTGCTTTGAAACTAGCAGCAATTCTGGGAGTCTAGGAAAAAAGAATTATCAAAGGACACAATCATGAATATCATCAGCATTTCAGGAAAGATATTGATATGGTCACTGCCAAATTAATCAGTCAAAGTTGGTACCCATGAGGTACTTTCAGCCTAACAATACAGTTTGCACTACTAGCAGAGTCTGAACAAAATTTTCAAGAAGAAGGCTATAGTGGCTGGGGAAATATTCCCCAGACTGGTCCTCGAGTGATGGGTCCAGTGTGTTAGTGAATTGGTTGGCTGAGTTCGGACCCCACAATTTTGGAGCAGAATCCCCGGGGTTACTCTGTGCCAAGAAGGTCTCCCTGGAGGAAGTACGTTTCCCAACAAACCAATGATGTTACCCAAAGGGTGGATTCTGTTGAGGTGCAAGAATTAAAGGAGGCAAATGATACATTGACTGCTGTGCTAACCACAGTATAATAGCAGAATTTTTTGCTGTCAGACACGGCTCAAGTTTGACATCATCAAAAATAATCCAGTTAATTACAGACCGGTGAGCCTTGCGGCAGTGGTAGGGAAATCATTGGAGAGGATTCTTCGAGACAAGATTGACTCCCACCTGGAAATCAATGGGCATATTAGTGAGAGGCAACATGGTTTTGTGAAGGGGAAGTCATGTCTCACTAACTTGGTTCAGATTTTTGAGGAAGTGATGAAGGTGATCGTTGAGGGGAGGGCAGTGGACATTGTTTACACGGACTTCAGTAAGGCCTTTGACAAGGTCCATCATAGCAGGCTAATACAGAAAGTAAAGTTGCACGGGGTCAGAGGTGAGCTTGCAAGATGGATAAAAAACTGGCTCGGTCACAGAAGACAGAGGGTAGCAGTGGAAGGGTGCATTTCTGAATGAAAGGCTGTGACTAGTGGCGTTCCTCAGGAATCAGTGTTGGGACCTTTGCTGTTTATAATATATATGAATCATTTGGACAAGAATGTAACTGGTCTGATTAGTAAGTTTACCGATGACACAAAGGTTGGTGGAATTGCAGATAGTGATGAGGACCATCAAAGAATACAGCAGGATATAGATCAGTTGGTGACTTGGGCAGAGAAATGGCAGATGGAATTTAATCCAGAAAAATGTGAGATAATGCATTTTGGAAGGTCTAATCCAGATGGAAAATATACTGTAAATGGCAGAACCCTTAAGAGTACTGATAGGCAGGGGGATCTGGGTGTACAGGTACACAGGTCACAGAAAGTGGCAACGCAGGTGGAAAAGGTAGTCAATAAGGCATATGGCATGCTTGCCTTCATCGGCTGGGGCACTGAGTTTAAAAATTGGCAGGTAATGTTACAGTTTTATAGAACCTTAGTTAGGCCGCATTTGGAATATTGTGTTCAATTCTGGTCGCCACACTACCAGAAGGATGTGGTGGCTTTGGAGAGGGTACAGAAAAGATTTGCCAGGATGTTGCCTGGTATGGTGGGCATTAGCTATGAGGAGAAGTTGGAGAACCTTGGGTTGTTCTCACTGGAACAACGGAGGTTGAGGGGCGACCTGATAGAGGTCTACAAGATTATGAAGGGCATGGACAGACTGGACAGTCTGAAGCTTTTCCCAGGTGGAACAGTCAGTTACCAGGGGCAAGGGGTAAGGTTTAAAGTTGATGTACACAGAGGGTGGTGGGTGCCTGGAACTCGCTGCCAGAGGAGGTAGTGGAAGCAGATACTATAATGACTTTTAAAGGGCGTCTTGACAAATACATGAATAGGATGGGAATAGAGGGATACGGTCCCTGGAAGGGTAGAGGGTTTTAGTTGTGACGGGCAGCATGTCGGTGCAGGCTTGGAGGGCCAAAGGGCCTGTTCCTGTGCTGTAATTTTCTTTGATCTTGTTCTTTAATAGCAAGCAGGCAAAGCTTGCAAGGTGAATCCAATAAAGGTGTTCTCTTTATTAGCTTCAGCTGATTGAAACAGCAATCCACAGTAAACTCTTTCATGCTGCATGTGGTCTCCTGGTGTTGAGTGAATTCCTGTAGCCATTTTACTCATCCATGCTATATCAAAAGGTGATAGATAGTGAATTAGTTGTGTGAAGCTGCGGGGCACAGTCACAAAATTTTGGACAATTGAAAGTTAGCTCAACACAGCAGCTACAGGTCCTGAGAGATAGGCCTCTGAGAGTGGAAAGCCACAGGCAGGACTTGGCCAGAGAAAGCCAAGCTAATGTGACCGATAATTGAATAAAAAGTAATCATGTAGAAAACCAAACAACTAAAGTAATGTCATGACAGTGTATTATGTCTGTTGGTTCTGAAATGTACAACATTGGATGTAAAATTATTTAGACAGCTGAGTCTCGCTATGAATAAAGGAAGAAAATGTTCAGAAGTTGTAAGAGAGAGATACTAGCTTTTGTGTTTGATTGAAGTTATAAATCTTTTCCATCTGGATGTGAATTCCTTGAGTGTCCACAGTCTCTGAACTAACTTACAGTATTGAACAATATGTATGGACTTCCATAAAGTATTGATCATCTGCTTTGAAAATATCAAAAGGTGGTGTGTAGCGTTGGGCTTAAAAATATTTTCAAATCGGACCATTAATGGTTAATTGGACATGACAATGAGCAATTGAAAAAAAGTAGAAAAGCACATGAAAAACAGGCTTAATGCAAAAACAGCCTTTAACACATGACACTGAATTGTCTGTGACAATTGACATTGACAACTGTCCTGTTGTGCTATCACATAGAGTTTGTTTTTAAGCCTGTTTTGAAGGTTGAAAAAGTACTGCAGTCATTATGAAATGGAGATTCAGCATGTAATCTTAGATTAAAAATAGTATAAACATCAGGGACTATGGCCCACTCATTGGACTTGTCACTATCAGTCATAAGACCATTGCCATGGAATCTGAGAGTTCCAAGTGCCACTGTTGCCAAAGTCCCCAAGGGATATATACGTATATTATGTAGTTTATGCTAATAGATTCACTCATTAGTTTGCATATGTCTCTGAAGTATGTCAAGTAGATTAAGCTAAAGCTTTGCTTCATACTGAAGTGCATATGTCTTCTTATTTTCATTTTGATCAGCCCTTAAAGTACCCATTAGGTATTTTCAGCCTAACAATATAGCTTTTCATCTTCTAATCATAAACCTATCTCAACAGTGGTCTTGTTAGAGACCGACCAAACATCCCAATGCAGTGACTGTCAAGACTTGCATTTCTCATGCCTTATTTGTTCCCCCTCAGCCAAATCCATTTATGCGCAAATGTTTGTACTTACAAAAGGCTTTAGAAGGTAATACAAGAACTTTTTCATTGCTTCAGGCATACAGCATATGGACATCTGAAACTTCAAATTAGGATCAATGATGTCTCCTCTACTAGAAAATTCAAGCAGTTTTAAATGGAATTAATTACTATCATTTTGCAATTCTTTGTAAAAGTAAAAGCTATCACTGCTAAGAAAATTTGTATTTATTAAAACATGAATCCTTAACTTTTCAAAGAAACTGACAACTTACAACATGTCTAAAGATGGATCTATGATTATGGATTACTGCTTTATGATGACTGCATAACTCATGTCCTGTTGTAGTTAGATGATATTTCTGCATATTTATCATGTTTTGGGAGTCAATCATTAAATTGTTGACCTATTTTTCTGGTATCCTGTAAACTAAAGGCATTTCCTAATATGTGACAAACAAATAACTGCACTGACAGTGGGGTTTGGGCATTTTTTTTCTATGTTCATTCACTGGATCAGGGTGTTGCTGGCTAGGCAACATTTATTGCCGTAATTGCCCAGAGGGCAGTTAAGAGTCAACCACATTGCTGTAAGTCTAGAGTCACATGTAGGCCAGACCAGGAAAGGACGGCAGTTTCCTTCCCTAAAGGGCATTAGTAATCCAGATGGGTTTTTCCTGACAATCAACGATCATCATTAGATTCTTAATTCTAGATATTTTGTTGAATTCAAATTCCACCATCTGCTGTGGCAGGATTCAAACCTGGGTCCCTAGAACGTTGACTGGGCCTCTGGATTAACAATCCAGCAATAATACCACTAGGCCATTGCCTCCCCCCACCTCATGCTTATGATAAGCATAAGTTTACCATAACTTACTCTGCTTATACATGTAATATTCAATTAGCTGTAATGAAGGAAAACCCGAAGTATACAAAAGAATTTGTTTTTGCTTTGACAGATTTAGATAACACAGGAGATCTTATTAGAGCAGGAGACCAAAATCTTGGACAAAGAGGTAGTTATTAAGTGGACGTGAGGAATAGCAGATCATAAGATACATAGGAGCAGAATTAGGCCATTCAGCCCATCGAGTCTTCTCCACCATTCAATCATAGCTGATATGTTTCTCAAACTCCTGCCTTCTCTCCATAACCCTTGATACCTTTACTAGTCAAGAATCAACCATGATACTATTGAATGGTGGAGCAGTCTTGAGGGGCTGAACAGTCTACTCCTTTCCCCTTTCTTATGGTCTTTTGTTTTCTTGAATGTAATAGAATGTTTTCCTCAGCTTTTGTTCACAGGGTTATTTGAGTTCTGAATATCTGGTGAATAAAAACTTTTCCTGTCATCAAGCTATCTGTTTAGAAGAAATAGCGGGGATCTTAGAGAAAGGCATACAATTCTAACAGGATTAGACAGGATAGATGCAGGAAGGATGTTCTCAGTGACATGGAGTCCAGTATCAGGGGTCACAGTTTAAGGATAATGGGTAGGCCTTTTATGACAGAGATAAGAAGAAATTTCTTTACCGAGAGAGAGAGGTAAGCCTGTGGATCTCTGCCACAGAAAGTGGTTGAGGCCAAAACTTTCAATGTTTTCAAGAAGGAGATAAATATATTTCTTCGGCCTAAAGGAATTGAAGGGTATGGGGAGAAAGTGGGAACAGCATACTGAGTTAGACAATCAGCCTTGATCATATTGAATGGTAGGTCAAACTCAAAAGGTCAATTGGCCTACTCTTGCTCCTATATTCTGTGTTTCTATGTTTGATGCATCAATTGCGTAAGAACACTGGTTGTCTTTCTTGAGTAAAATGTTTCTATGATTTCTCTTCCATTTTGGCAACATCGGCTCTCTGAATTTGATTTTAGTGTCCCTTGTGTCCCAAATTTGAAAGGAACACAGTCTGAGAATTTTGTGCCTCCACGATCATGTAGCATCCAATAGAACAGATACACCCACCCCTGTATTTCATTTGAAGTTACTCTCCTTGCCTGCTTATCTGAATTTATCTCATGGATTTTTAAAATTCATTTTGTGGGATGTGGGCTTCGCTGGCTGGGCCAGCATTTATTGCCCATCCCTAGTTGCCCTTCGGAAGGTGGTGGTGAGCTGCTTTCTTGAACCACTGCAGTCCACCCGCTTTGTCTGCAAAAACCTGCTAAGCGTCTGTTTTAACCCTCAAAAATAATTTATCTTTCTCCTTTGCATCCCTACACTTTCAGACCATGTAAATAGCTACGTCACAGTGACTCCAAATCACATTGAATTGGACCCTGAGTCTCCATGGTTTTGAAGGTGTCTGCTCTTACAGTCCCTTGGATATAGTTGTGTGCAGGAAAGCTCATTAATGTTCTCTCCCTGAGTAGAGGCCTGATCTTACGAAATGGTAGCTACATGACCAGACCCACAGAAATGGAAGAAAGCAGCAAAGAGCACCCGCAGTGAAATCTAGCAGCTGGACAATGGGTAAAAATTGAGGCCAGTCCAGTAATCTGACCACAGATGTAAGGAAAAAAATCTGCAGAGAAGTCAAATAGTAACAGGGAGCAGCAGGTCAGAGAGTCAAACACACACCTAGGCATGCATCACAGAGGAGAAAAGTTCACGCGGCACTGATTAACCACAGGAAAACATTACAGCAGGAATGTTCAAACAGCAAGAAAATTACATGGTCACAGTGAGTTAAACATTAAAGCAGATCAGAAATCTTTGTAGATTAGAGGTCTTTACAGGAAAGGGGAAGAATAGAGCATTCAGAAAGTTCACCAGGAGAAAGTGAGCAAAGAAAAAGGGCCTGATTGATTTGATTAAGAGATCCCACTGGCAGAAGATAGGCCCAGTCAGTATCACAAAGGGTTGTGAGTGCTGATAGAAAACAGTTCAGCTTTGCCTCAGTAGCACAGGGATGTAACAACACTCCACGGGGTCGGAAGTGTGTGTGTGTGTTTGTGTGTGTTTGTGTGTGTGTATGCGTGTGTGTGTGCGCCTGTGTATATGTTTGTGTCTTTCAAATACCATTTGGATGAATAGGTAGTAGTGGCGCTGAAAAGAAATTCCAATTTGCACCCAAGGAATATTGGGTAATTTTTCCACCCAGAGAGGTGATAGCAAGTACAGGACTGAACGGTTAAAGGCCCAGCAAAGCACAAAATGTAGCATATGTCTGTCCAACTGATCCCATCATCTTATCAAGGGGACCAAAAAAAAATGTTTCCAATGTCTAGTTTTTGCACATGCAGCTGGTAGGCTCATTTGATTTTCTAGGAAATTCTGCCAGCTATAAGTGAATTGCACAGTGTTGGATTGTTTTGTGAGTGTGGGACATTTTTCTGGTTGAAATTTACACAATTAAACAGTGATATTTTTGGTACAATCAGGTGGACCGGATGGGGGGAATTAATTATGAGTTAGTGACGAAAGAGTTAAAAATTAAAGTCCAGGTATAAAATGAAAAATAAATCACAGGCAGACCAAGGCATTTTATCTGTATACTATGAGGACTGAAATGACAAAATTACTTATAAATCTTTTCTGACTCCAGTTAATACATTTTAAAAAGTTTTACTTATAAAGTACAATAAAAGCAGATAATGATTTAATGTCAGGTGGTAATATATTAAATTCAATCCTTTGAGCTTACTTACAGGCTTTCCAAAAGCGTAACACACTTGTCTGCAAGAAGTCCCGGGAAAATGAGTTCATTCATAGCATAGTACACTTTGGGTGGTGTGAATGACACCAACTAAAAAAAGGGAGAAACAAGGAGTAAATCACTTGGCGTATTGAATCAAGGGTCCTGTCTGACAAGGCAGCAAACATAAACAGCCTTTTATGTAAAACAATTTTTCCTGATTCTGACATTAGTAATGTAGAAATGAAAGTACGTAGGGAAATCCGTGCTCAGCAAGAGGAACTTAAAGTGCAGTAGAACAGATACACTTAAGGGAAAGCTAGATAAATACATAAGGGAGAGAGGAATAGAAAAATATACTGACAGTGGTTAAATGAAGGGAGGTGGAAGGAGGCTCAGCTGAGGCATATACTTTGGCACATGTCAGTTGAGACAGTGGACTGTTTCTGTGCAGTACATTCCATGTAATTCAAAATCTTCTGAATGAGGTTACAGTGCGGATACTCCCAAAGAAATGAAGTATGGGCCAATTCGTAACTTTCTAATTAGTTTGGCAGCATCTGAATCTATTAAAATGATAGTAACAAGGAAATCTTATTGATTTCCATCATTTCATATGCACTTGGAATTCTTGGTAAGATGAATTAGTTTGTATTTCTTTCTTAAAACTATTGCAGGCATTTTTCAAACCTTTCTAACAGTGATCACTAAAAATTATTGACACAGTTGTTAGTGTTTGCTATAACTACTGGCACATATCCAATGACCTTGTCCTAGTTTCAAACTTTCAGCATTAATTAAACAAAGGAAAATTGTGCTCTCAGACCTGAATAATAATAACCTGTACATGACCACAGAAACAGCACTTCTTCAACAGCATGTTCCAAACCTACATCCTGTACCACTTAGAAGGGCAAAGGCAACAAATACATGGGGACGCCAGCACCTGTAAGTTTCCTCCAAGCAACACGCCAACCTTGTAACAGAGAGCTGTGGGCATAGAGTTTTTGTGTATATTTAGGGTTGAGATAGTTAGACTCTTGATCAGTCAAGGAATCGAGGGTTTGGGGAAAGGGCAGGAAAGTGAAGGGAGGCTCAGTGGTTAGCACTGCTGCCTCACAGTGCCAGGGACATTGGTTCAATTCCACCCTAGGGTGACCATCTGTGTGGAGTTTGCACATTCTCACCGTGTCTGTATGGGTTTCTTCCAGGTGCTCCGATTTCATCACAGTCCAAAGATTTGTGAGTTAAGTGGATTGGTCATGCTAAATTGCCCATAGTGTTCAGGGATGTGCAGGTGAGTTAGCCATGGGTTACAGGGATAGGGTAGAGAGGTGGATCTGGGTGGGATGCTGTTCAGAGGGTCAGTGTGGACTCAATGGGCAAAATGGCCTACATCCACACTGTAGACATTCTATGAAAAAGGAATGTCGGGTTAGCCACAATCCTTTTGAATGGTGAAGCAGGCTGGCGGTGCCAAACAGCCTGCGCCGGTTCTGAGGTCTTACAGTCTTATGGACTTGGAAATATATTGCCATTGCTTCACTGCTGCTCAGTCAAATTGTTGAAACTCTTTGCTTGACAGCATTGTGAACATATATACATTACATGGACTGCGACAGTTCCGGAAAGTGCTCACTATCACCTTCTCAAGGATAATCAGGTATGAGCAATAAATGCTGGTCTAGACAGCGATGCCTGCATCCCCTGAACGAATTTTTAAAAAATCTAACAATAGCTATTGCCAATTGGGAAAAAAAGGAAGCAAATATCTAAATATTTCAAGTTGCACAATTTCTCAAGTATCAAGATCCACAAGCAAGATTAGTTGATCAGGGTTGCAGCTCAACATCATGCATCCGTCTCCAAAGACAATATCCCTTCGCAAATTTGATTTATATTCTCATGAACCACACCAATGTCAAGGAATACAGGGTACGCACAGGATAGTGTAGCTCAGGCCAAACTAGGTCAGTCATGATATTATTGGACTTGAAGTAGGTTTGAAGTACCAAAAGACCTTCTCCTGTTGCTATGTCCTGTGTTATTCCAGGACCAGCCAATTTCAATTTCCATGCTATCATAGTACAACTGAGAGAATCTGGAGAGTAAGAGACAAATGAAAACTGAGTTCAGGATGTAGCAGAGAAGGCCACGAAGCAGAAAAAGCAAACAGAGGTCAAACTGCCTCTCCAGCGACCTAAATATTTGAAGCAACCAAAATTCTCTACCAAGCATTGTCCTTGCTGTGGTTAATTCGCTCGCCAAGCTGGTTCGTTAATTTGCAGACATTTCATTACCGTATATATCTTGTGGTATACAAGATCCCATGCAAAAACTGCGAAAAACATTACATTGGACAGACAGGAAGGAAACTGGCCACAAGAATACATGAACACCAACTAGCAACAAAAAGACATGACCAATGCTCACTCATCTCCATTCACACGGATAAGGAGAGCCACCAGTTCGATTGGGGCAACATCAGGATCCTAGGACAGGCCAAACAGAGACAAGCACGGGAATTTCTAGAGTCTTCGTTCTCCACCAAGAAGGCCATCAATAGACACATAGAATTAGACCCTATATATATACACCACTGCGAAGGAAAATCGGAAATGAGGTAACTAATTCCAACGGACCCCACAGTTTAAGTACCAGGTGGGAAAACACAACAGCGCTTCATCGGAGGCTGCACTGATGATGTTACCCAGCAGGGTAATGAAATGTCTGCGAACTAATGAACCAGCTCGGCAAGAGAACCAACCACACCATCCACAACCTGAGCTACAAATCTACTCAAGAACCTAAGTATTGTCCTTATCTAAGCTGATTCCCTTGTTTTGTAGAAACATAAGCCATTCAAACTGAATATACAAACAGCCAAAATTGAGGGGCCAGAAAAGACTAGATGATCCATCAAGTCTGGCCACAGATGATGTCTATTCTAACAAGGTGAATGTTAGTGCACAATTAAACAACTCATTGAAGGAAGCAGATCCATAAATAGATCCACCTCAATAATGAGAGAGCCCAGCTATCTTCAGTGCAAGCAATAAAGCTGAAGAATTTGTAACAATCTTCCACCAGACCTGATAAGTGAATGATTAATTTTAGTCTTCTTTGGAGGTCCCCAGCATCACAGATGCCAGCTGATTCAATTCACTCCAAGTGATATTTAGAAACAACTGGAGGCACCAGATACTGCAAAGGCTGTGGTCCTGACACCATTCCAACAATAGTACTGAGGACTTGTGCGCCAGAACCTGCCATGCTCCTAACTAAGCTCTTCCAGTATAGCTACAACATTGGCATCTACCTGACTATGTGGAAAATTGCCTAGGTATGTCCTGTACACAAAAAGCAGGACAAATCCAACCCAACCAATTACTCTTGATCATCAGTAAAGTGATGGAACTTGTCATTAACAGCAGTATCAAGCAGCACCTACCCAGCAATAACCTGCTCACTGACTCTCAGTTTAGGTTCTGCCAGGGCCACTCTGTTCCTGACCTCATTACAGCCTTGGTTCAAACATGGACAAAAGAGCAGAATTCTAGAGGTGAGGTAAGAATAACTGTCACTAACATCAAAGCCAACATTGACTGAGTGTGGCACCAAGGAGCTCCAGCAAAACTGCAATCAATGAGAATCAGGATAGAACTCTCTGCTGGTTGCAGTTATCTGGCATATGAGAGAATGGTTGTGGTTGTTGGAGCTCCAGGAAATCTCTGAAGGAATTCCTCCGGGTAGTGTCCTAAGCCCAATCATCTTCAAATGCTTCATCAATGACTTTCGCTCCATTGTAAGGTCAGAAGTGGGGATGTTCACCGATAATTGCACAATGTTCAGCATCATTTGCAACTCCTCAGATACTGAAGCAATCCATATCCAAATGCAGCGAGATCTGAAGAGTATCCAGGTTCATCTGGCAAGAGCAGCATGGTTGCTCAGTGGTTAACATTGCTGCCTCACAGCGCCAGGGACCCGGGTTCAATTCCAGCCTCAGGCAACTGTCTGTGTGGAGTTTGCACATTCTCCCCGTGTCTGCGTGGGTTTCCTCCAGGTGCTCTGGTTTCCTCCCGCAGTCCAAAGATATGCAGGCTAGGTGGATTGGCCATGCTAAATTGCCCCTAGTGTTCAGGGATGTGTAGATTAGGTGGGTTATAGGGGAATGGGTCTGGATGGGATGTCTGATGGTCTGTGTGGACTTGTTGGGCCGAAGGGCCTGCTTCCACACTGTAGGGATCCTATGAAAGAGGCAAGTAACATTCACACCACACAAGAGCAAGGCAATTGCCATAACCAACAAGAGAGAATCTAACCATTGTCCCTTGACATTCAATGACATTACCGTCACTGAATTCCCCACTGTCAACAGTCTGGTTGTTAGCATTGACCAGAAACTGAACTTGGTTATCTTTATAAATACTGTAGCTAACATCAACTACCACAGTAAAGATAGCACACCAATGCTTCTACCTCCTCAGGAGGCTAAAGAAATTCGGCATGTCCACAAGCACCATAGAAAGCATCCTATCCAGATGCATCACAGCTTGGCATGGCAACTGCTGAGCCCAAGACTGCAAGAAATTACAGAGCTGTGAAGACAGCCCAGTGCTTCACGCAAACCAGCCTTCCATCTATTGACTCAGTCTACACTTCCTGCTGCCTGAGAAAAGCAGCCAACATAATCAAAGACCCCTCCTACCCTGGTTATACTCACTTCCATCCTTTTCCATCAGCAGAAGATACAAAAATTTGAAAATGTGTCCCAACAGATATAAGAACAGCTTCTTCCCTGTTGTTATCAGACTTACGAACAGACCTCTCCTTCTCTGCACCTTCTCTGTAACACTATATTCTATATTCTGTTCTATTAACCCAAGGTATTTATGTGAGGTATAATTTGTTTGGTTAGCATGCAAATAATACTTTTCAATGTATCTCGATACATGAGACAATAATAAATCAAATCAAAAGAGCAGGTTAGAAGCTAGGAATCCTGCAGTGAATAACTCATCTCCTGACTCCTCACTACCTGACCACCCTCTACAAGGCACAAGTCAGGAGTGTGATGGAATACTCCCCCTTTGCCTGAATGAGGGCAGCTGCAAAAATACTAAAGAACCTTGACTCTTTCCAGAACAAAGCAGCCCACTTGACTGGCACCCCATCCACAAACGTTAGCTCCCTCCACCACTGACACTCAGTAGCAGCAGTATGTACCATCTCCAAGGTGCGTACAGAAATTCACCAAGGCTCTTCAGGCAGCATCTTCCAAGCCCAGCATCACTTCCATCTAGAAGGACAAGGATAGCAGATACATGGGGACATCATCGCCTACAACGTCCACTCCAAGCCACCATCCTGACTTGGAAATATAACACTGTTTCTTCAGTGTCACTGGGTCAAAATCCTGGAACACCCTTCCTAACAGTTCAAGGCAGCTTACCACCATCTTCTAAAGGGCATCTAGGAATGTGCATCAAATGAATAAACAAAAACACTTCTTTCCAATCTTCTACACCTTCACCATTTCTTGCAGCCATGTAGTTTCCAGGGAGAAAATACTAGCTTATTAAGGAAAATGTACTCAGGAAAACTCTTCTCTGACCTACTTCAGCAAATCAAAACCAATCCTGAAGATCAAATGAACCACCAGTCAGGAACCAATCCACTATAAATCCACTGACTCCCACAGCTACCTGGACTATACATCCTCACATCCTGCTTCTTGTAAAGACTCCATTCCATTCTCTCAGTTCCTCCATCTCCGTCACATATGTTCAGATGAGGCCAACTTCAACAAGGGACCCTCTGACACGTCCACCTTCTTCCTCAACCGAAGACTCCCCAGCACTGTTGTCGACAGGGCCCTCAACCAGGTCCGACCCATCTCCCACATTTCCGCCCTCACACCCTCTCTTCCCTTCCGCAACAGCAATAGGGTTCCCCTTGTCCTTCTTATCATCCCACCAGCATCCACATCCAGAAGATCATCAGATGCCATTTCCGCCACCTCCAGAGAGATGCCACCACCAGACACATAATCCCCTCCCCTCGCTTGTCCGCCTTCTGTAGGGACCGTTCCCTCCAGGACACCCTGGTCCATTCTTCCTTCACTCCCAACACACCCCCCACAGCCCCACGGCACCTTCCCCTGCAACCAGCGAAGGTGCAACACCTGCCCATTTACCTCCTCCCTCCCCACTATCTAAAGGCCCAAACATACCTTCCAGGTGAAGCAACACTTCACCTGCACTTCCCAGAATCTAGTCTACTGCATTCGTCACTCACAATGTGGTCTCCTCTACAAAGCATAGACAGGGTGACGGCTTCGCAGAACATTTATGTTCTGCTCGCAAAAAAGAACCTGAACTGCCCTTTGCCTGCAACTTTAACACACCACCCTGCTCCTTGGCCAACATCTCTGTCTCTGGCTTGCTGCAGTGTTCCAGCAAAACTCAACGCAAGCTGGAAGAACAACACCTCATTTTCCGCTTGGGGACCTTGCAGCCCTCTGGACTCAATGTCGAGTTCATTAATTTTAGGGCCTCTCCCATGTCTTATTCTACTACCCCACACTCCAGGCCTTGTTACCACATAGCCTGCCATTACACACCCCCTGTTGTTAGTCACTAACAGTCCCCATTAACAGCTATTCACCCTCCCAGCAAGATCGTTATCAACTCCTTTGTCTATCCAACTGCTCTTCTCTCTCTTCGGACTCTATCCTATCGTTTACTCCCTACCCTACCCCCTCGCTATTTTCTGCATATAAGGCGACATTTTCCTAGCTACTATCAGTTCAAAGGAAGGATCACTGGGCCCAAAACATTAACTCTGATTTTTTCTTCACAGATGCTGCCAGACCTGCTGAGCTTTTCCAGCAACTTCTGTTTTTGTTCCTGATTTACAGCATCTGCAGTCCTCTCAGATTCTAATTCCTTTTTGATTATGTGCAGACAGTGAACATTCATTTCACCTAGAGTGTGAGAGTGGAGGGTTACTTCTGTCAAGATAACTAGTTTTCTAAAAATTTTCGATGAAATAATTGGAATACTGGGGTATCCAAATGGATATTACCTACTCAGATTTTCAGAAAGAATCTGATGACCTGTTTTATGCTTACTCTTTAAAAGAGAATACCATGAAAACAGTGGGACAGAAAAATGTTATCAATGATGTTGGATCCCTGGAGCCCCATAATTTCTTTTCTGTCCATCATTTTCAAATCTTTGTATATTGCCTCACATGTTATTCAAAATTAGGAACTCATTAAATGGCCAATCCTGCAAATTAGTTATTTTCATGCTTTCCAATCTGTGTTTCCAGCGTTCATGTTGGGCGTTTAGGTTAGGGAGCAGGGAAGAAAGATTAATTAAAAATAAATTTTTGCTTAGTCCATTCAATCTTTCACTATCATCCCTCCTCCCCCTCCCTCTACCTCCAGGAATTTCTCCATTCTCTTGGAGGATTAGTAAGCACACCGTGTGTCCAGCTTCTTCCAGTAGTCGCTTAGTTTCCATGATGGCTCGTTTCATGCTTGGGGTCGGGATCCAATACCCATCATTTTCAAAATAACCTATCCTCAATTGTTTCGTACTGGTGTACATCTGAAAAAAAGATTTTTTAAAACTTCAAAAAACGTAATTTTTAATTTTTTGCAATTGAACAAAACAGGTCCTCAATATTGGAATGGTCAACATTTACACCACTTGCAAATAATTGCTCTATATACTGCTTCATCCAGAGGGACCTGGAGCACAGTTACAAGGTTGCTGATAGAACAACTGATGGAGGATGGAACTCCTACATTGCACCTCTTACGATGAAAGCACCACCAATCATGTTGCAAAGACATAATAGGACTTTGCAAATGTCTGCACGAGTACTAACTCCTTCTTCACCTAGTTTCACGCCAATAATGAAAGGAATCTTTGGAGGTAAGATTGCCGTGCACTATACTTATGGTTGAAGTTGCGAAGGGATCAGTTCAATGCCCCCATGTAACCCATAAGGGTTTGCATTTGCTTTGTGCTTTGTGCTTTGTAGCCCGCACCTGCCACTTTCAAGATTTGCTGGGATTACTTCAGCCACACAGCAAAACCCATCTTCAGTCTGCAATGACTAATGACGTATATTACGGTAGAGCAGGCTTGATAGCCCCTACATCCTTAACTAGGGTTAAAATTTCAGGTTCAGTAGAGAAAGTGAGAAGCTGAAGTTGAATGGTGAATGCAAGAAAGCTCAAAGGAATCTCTGAATCTCCCCATATTGAACCCTTATTCCTCACTATTATAAATTTTGAGAGTTACAAAGAAACACTTGGGTTTTTGTCTCCATTTATTTTAATGGATTACATATTAAGCATTCCCCATACAAGAGGATAATCTGCTTCACACTGCCACTGGGGATGCTTGAAAAATAACCAACACAATGATGCTACAATGCATCAAACAAGGCATAAGCTTTGCCATAGATACCTAGAACAAACATATAAAAGTTCTACAAATTTAGTAACCTCAGTCTATCTTCATTGCCCACCCTGGTTGAACCTTACAGTAAACATCTTTAATGTCTGGTTAAACTCTAATAGAGATTCAAACATTAAAAGTATCTGACATACTTCCACAATGCTGTCTGTTTCTATCCTTACCTAATTGTCACCCCTGTCATGTTTCTGTTTTCTTCAGGTTGACGTCTTGACTATGTGCCTTGGAAAACTGCTGATCTTTCTGCTACATAACCTTCAGGTTAACTAAAATTGCAGTATAAGTTCTGTTCTTTAGCTGGCCTTGTCTTCATCATTCACTGCTGGCTTCCAATTTTTTAAGGCATCAAATTCAAAGCGGCTGAATCTAATGGTGACTTGAGTAGTGCCAGGCATCAGTTAGAAAGTTAGTTGCTTGCTATAGTCATTTTCAGGAGCCTTGACAGAATTCAATGTCAGTCAGAGAGTGAACTAACTCAGGACAGGTATTCAACTCCTTTCAGGGTAAAGGGGCTCTCCATGGATCATGGGGGGTGCCCAATCAAAGTGGTTCCATCAAGCCCACAGGGAGGCTGCCATCTTTTATGGGCAGCCTCTGTATACTGGGACAGAGTATGGTGGAATAGGAGCAACGGTGGGATTAGGCTTTTTATTAGCCTCTGGGCAGGAACATAGAACATAGAACTGTACAGCAGAGGAACAGGCCCTTTGGCCCACAATGTTGTGCCGAAAATGACGTGAAATTAAACAAATCCCTTCTGCTTGCCCTTGGTCCATATCCCTCCATTCCTTGCATATTCATGTGCTTATCTAAAAGTGTCTTAAATGCCCCTATCATTTCAGCCGCCACCACCATCCCTGGCAGCACATTCTACATTCCTACTATTCTGTGTAAAAAACAGCCCCTCACATTTCCTTTGAACTTGCCCCTCTCACTTTAAATCCATGCCTCCTAGTTTTAGATATTTCAACTCTGGGATAAAGATTCTGACCGTCAACCCTATCTAAGCATCTCACAATTTTATACACTTCTATCAAGTCTCCCCTCAGCCTCAGCCTCCGCCGCTCCAGCGAGAACAACCTGAGTTTTTCTAGCCTCTCCTTATTGTTCATACCCTCTAATCCAGGCAGCATCCTGGTATACCTCTTAGATGTGGAAGGTCTCCACATCCTTCCTGTAATGTGGCGATCAGAAGTGAATGCAATATTCTAAGTGTGGCCTAGCCAATGTCTTATAAAGCTGCAACATGACTCCCTGACTCTTGTATTCAATTCCCTGACCATTAAATGCATATACACCTTCTTTACCATCCGATCTACTTGTGAGGGGTGTCCTTCATCTTCCAAAGCCCTGACTTAATTGGAGGGGTCAGGAAGGCAAAAGATCTTAATCCCTGGCCCCACCTTCCCTCCCTTTCTTCAGCTCATACCTGCTGCCAATAGCTCAAACCCAGCTGGGGGAAGTAAATTCTACCCAAAATGTACATCTTTGTTATAAATCTTTTCACATCTGTGAAATCTTTTTATCCTACATTCCAGTTTGGTCTTGTGACTTCCATCTCTGTATTTCATTCCTTGGGCGCCAGCTTACAACCATCTTGGTTCAACATTACAAAATACCCTCTTTAAGCTATCCCCAACTTCAAAAGAAAAACCCTTAAAACCTTCAACCTCAACTATAGTTTCAGTCATCGTAGTTGAATCTATTATTTCTCTTGAACTGATTACTTCTCAGAATCTTTTTCTCTTTTGAAATTCTTTGGAGCATTTAGTACCTGAAAGGTGCAATATAAAGGCAAACAGTTGTTTTTGTGTTACCTGTTCATTGAAGGGAATAGGTGGCACAGATGGATCCAAATGGAACATGTCTTCACATAACAGAGCTCTCATGCACAATGCCAAGCTATCCACATCTTTGGCTAATGGACCAACCATTGACTCAACTAGAAAACAATCAGTATTTCATTCAAATTTAATATTCATTGTTAAATGCCAGAAGAACTGAATTATATATCTTCATTTATAAAGATTTATAAAGATTGCAGGTTCTCCACACTCCATTATTTGGCCATTTATTCTTGGTTGACATTCCAGTCCATTAGTGAAGGGCAACAGAAATCAGAAGGACATTTTCAAATTTGTGGACGATCTTAAATTGTGGAATATAATTAATGCAGAGGAAATGATGAAACAATACAAAAGTCCATACTGGGGATTTAATTGGCAATTTAACACCATTGCAGGTAACTGTGTGGCATTATACATTGGTGGGAAAAGTAAGAAGGTCACATACGTTTTGGAAAATAAGCGTCGAGCTTTAAAAAAAACTAAGAGATCAGGGACAGAAACAGAAATTGCTGGAGAAACTCAGCAGGCCTGGCAGCATCCATGGGAGAGAAAACAGAGTTAACATTAAGGGTCCAATGATTAGCCCATACTTGGAGTACTCTAAATATTTCTAATCTCCATAGTATAAAAGCACTGAAAAAGATGCAAAAATCATTTACTGAAATGATACCAGAACTGAGAGCAGATTGAACAAATTGGTGATCATTTCTGTTTGAAAGGAAAGATAAAGGAGTGGCCTTTATGCTGCAGATTATCAGGATTTTGAACAAATTTGGTAATGTAGATGTGCAGGTGTACAACTGCTGTAAAATATCCAGCATTTATCTTCCATTCCTCTTGCAATTAATGCCAATATTCCATTTGTTCTCCTAATTACCTGCATAATCTGCATGCTAATTTTTACGATTTATATAATCATCAACACCCTAAAATATCTGGACAATCAATTTTTGTAACCTGTATCCATTTGGACAATAAACCATTTTTCCATTCCTCCTACCAAAGTGGGCAAGTTCACATTTTCCCTCAACATATCTACCTGCCAATTTTTCGCCCACTCACTTAACCTATCCTTTTTTACTCATTCACATGGTGTGGGCACCGTTGGCCAAACCAGAATTTACTGTCCATCCTTCGTCACCCTTCACAAGATGATGGTGAGCTGCAGTATTCACTTGCAGACTCTCTATATCTTTTTGACACTTAATTTACCACTAATCTTGGTGTCATTGGCAAATTTAGCTACCGTACAATCAGTCCTTTCATCCAAGTCATTGATATAGATACAAGTAGTTGATGCCCAAGCTCTGATCTCTGTGGCACTTCCCTAGATACAGCTTGCCAACCTGAAAAAGAACCATTTATTTCTGCTTTCTGCTTCCTGTTAATTATTTATCCATGCTAATATTTTACCCTCGACACTATATGCTCTCACATTATCAACAAACCTTTTGATGTGGCACCCTATCAAAGTTCTTTTGAAAATCCAATTTATCCACTTTGTGTATTATTTTCTGAAGAAAACCTCTAACTAGTTAACTAACATGATTTCCCTATCACAAAGCCAAATTGATTCTACCTGATCACATTCTAATTTTCTAAATATCACACTACAACCTGTTTAATAGTGAATTCTGGCAATTTCCCTAAGACAGTTGTTAGGCTAATTGGCTGACAGTTTCCTGCTTTCTGTCTCCCTCCTTCCTTGAATAAAGATATTGCATTAGCTAGTTTCTAATCCATGAGAACCCTTCCAGAATCTAAGGATTTGTTTGAAGATCATAATCAACGCATCTACCATCTCTACAGCCACTTTTTTAATGCCCTGGGATGGAGGCTGCCTGGCCCCAAGGAATTGTTGGTTTTTGGGTCTAATAGATTTGCCAGCACTTTTCCATGGTGATGGTGATTGTTTTAAGTTCCTTCCTCCTGTTAACCTCTTCATTTGCTATGGTAAATTTTCTAAGTCTTCTACAGTGAAGACAGACACAAAAAACTCTGCCATTTCCTACTATCTTTTCTCTCTCCTGCATCTCTAATTCAAAACTCTAAAATGATCTTTTGCTTTCTTTTTCCTCAATTTCAATTCTTAAGTTCCATTTCCATTTTCACTTCAATTTCCTTAAGATTCACTCGAATTCTTGTTAACTCAAGTGACTCACCATTAATTGACTAGTCTCAAATTCTGAAATAATGTGTTAATTTTCTCTGCTTTCTTAGGTTTTGCAGGAAATTTCACCTTTAACTCCTTTGTCAATTCTATGTCTGCATTCAAAGAATCCATGCTGAGCCTCTGAAGTTTTGTATGTCCCTGATGACAGGGTTGTGTTGGAAAACAAGCCTCTCTATTCCATGTGTTGTCACAAATGTAATGATCAATTCAATCATTAGGATGGTTAATATGCTTAACTTTGATCACTATCTAATATGAAAGAAACTCAAACCAGATTTCATCAATAAACAAAACAAAACAAAACTTATTTAATATATAAACAAACTTATCCTTTAACAATGGCAAAATGGGTTATCAGTTACTAATATGCAAACTTAAAATACAATCTTTAACTTAAAATCCCCTTTAAATCTCAATGCACATGAATATTCATTCACAAATAAGACACACAAGACAGACAGTTCTGCAGAAAAATATCACAGTTGGGAAGCACAGGCAAAAAACAACAAATTCTGTAGATCAAGAGACCAGACCACAAGGGTGGAGCACGATGCCTTTCTCACAGTTCTTTTGGATTTTGGTGATGACATCACCTCATTGTTGACCCCAGCAATTCCCAATTTAGTACTCAGCTGGTCTGACCTTGATTTTTTTTGTTGAGCTATAAGTTCTTCCTTTCAAAGTTTTTGGGTGTTTTTTTTCCCTCCACACACTAAGATTGAGAGAGAGAGAGAAACTTTGCTTGCAGGATTTCTTTAGACTACTTGCCCCTCCTCCCAGCTCCATGACAAACTGCTACTTAACTTTTAAAGCTGTTGCTGGGCAATTTATTTAACCTGAGGCCACTTGGTACTAGCTAGTCTCACTCAAATATCAAATCCAGCCTCTTCAAAAGTTATATGATCTTGTTTAACCAATCAATAAACACCACACAGTTCCAGATATAAAAGTTTGATTCATTCTGTGCAACACAATAGTGTCCAAACTTCCATTTTCCAAGTTTATAAATATACGTACATACTTCTTCCATAGGATGATAACTCCATATGCTCAACATCAACATTACTCTCATCAACCGTCTCCATCATTTTCATCAAAGAAATATTAATCAGTGTATTTTCGGGTTTCAGATTATAATAAAATCTTAACCCGCAAAAGGTGTTAGGAAGCAGCTATTGGAACAGAAGGAAGATAAGGAGCACTGTATGAGGATTAACTGGCAGGCAAAACTAGAAAATAAAATATGATAAAAATAGAGTACATCAAAATTATTTGACGGACGATAAAAATAAATTAAGGCCATATTTATAAATTAGCAATGTTGACATGTGCTTGTCCACTGGGTTCACATTTTTGGAAGCTAGGGCACAAGTACCATGGTGCAGATTTTGTGGTCAATGTGAAACAAGCTCACTATTGGCCTTAAGGAAGGCCTCACTGAGAGATCTGACAATCTCTATAGTGAGAACCTTTCCTGTCTCAATGTATGTTGCATTGTAGAGTTGTTTAGTGGGGATTCACAGCTTCAAGCTGCAGTGATGAAGTCAAACTGTCCTGGTAGTCAATCATAATAAAAACATTCTTACACACCACCCACCAGGAAACAAAAAGCACAAAAAAATCAAATCCTTTGTAAAATCTTGATATAAATGTTGGTATATAAATATTATGGTAAAGGTACAAACTGAAATATCATAAACGTTTAAAATGTAATTCTTTAATAAAAAATAGTTTTTGAAAGCCAATAAACAATCATAACACAGCTTTTAACAATATTCCACATATTCTTCAGCACCAGATCACTTGCTCAGTAATTGTTATTACTGAGATGAAGGTCAAACACTCAGTTACACCTCATTGAAAAAAATAGCATTTTTTGGTGAGGAGGGGATTTTAAACAATGATATTAGAGCAAAAAGGGGGAAATTCAATTGATTATTCTGATCACCAGCTCCAGAAAGGTGGATAGTAGCCAGAGGGAAATTGCTCACAATCTAGAACAAAGCCTGTGGCAGTGGTAGAAGAGAGACAGACGATAACATCAAGATTTCTGCGGTCAGATTCAGAGGGATAATGACGGCAAATATTGATAGCGTATTATCAAACGCTCACAAGTGCTGGGGCCATTGTTCTCCAGCATTAATTTCAGGACTGGAAATACTGGGGACTAGGTTTTCACTTTGAACAGGAGAATAAAACAGGCGACAGTGAATTAGCATTGCAGTGTCCATTTCTCCAGATTTTTGTTTCCATTATATTGAAAGGATCTCAGATTCTTTTCCAGCTGTTTCACATGACCTCGCAAAATAAGAAGTGCCCACAGAACGTAACATGAGTGTCAAGACAATTCACCTTCATGAGAAAATTATGTCCCACTATTTCAGAGTAACCTTGTGTTACTTTATTCTCTCTGTGTCTAGTATGTTCATAGCAATCTTACAAAACTGTGTAAGTTATGATCATTTATTTGTTGGAATACAGAAGAATGATAGGTAATTGTATTACAAATATATTAAATTTTTAACAGGGTTGACAAGGTAGGTGTTGAGAAAATGTTCCCCAGACTGAGGAATTGAAAGTACAGGATCCCAGAATAAAGGATCAACCAATTTGGACTGAGAGGAGGAGAGTGGTGAATCTTTGAAATGTTTCCACCCAGGTTATTCATAGGCAGAGAAATCAAGAAGAAAATCATGTGCTTGCACATAAATAGTTTTCAGCTTTGTAATTGTTGTAAAGGCAGTAATTATGGATTATATACTTTGAACCACTATGTTTACAGACTGTCTGTTGATAGAAGTAATTGCGTATGACTAAGGTGGTAGCATACAATATCTAAGGTTATCGTATCCAGTGCATTTCTAGTTTAGTCTTTATGGAGGCTTGGTGTGCCATATTGGAGGATACTGGCTGCCCTGATTATAACAAGGCCATCCAGATGGACCACAGAGAATATGAGTTCCCTGGTTGGGGCTATTAATCTGGTCCAATCAGGGAGCCCTGGCTGACAGATAAGAACAGGAGTGTCAGACACCCTGTTCACTCTGAGAGCTGGCTCACACGGAGCTGGATCAGTGTCAAGGACTCTTCATGTATAAACAAAGGGTGACTTGGTGATTGGATCCTGGCCTCTGTGGAGTTATTTCACTGGCATAATCCATTTTTTAAAAAAATAATAACAGCTTTTATAGAGTTGAAACTCACGTGTTTTCTGTCCAGACAAACTTCCTGACAACCCGATCTTGCTGCGTGAAATGAAAACATATTATCAGTTATTTGAAGAAACCGGCCTATTTTTAAGTATTAGCAGCCCAGTCAGTAACAACTCATTGCAGTCATCCAGTTATTACCTCCAAAAGTTGCCTTCCAAAATAAATCCTTTTAATAAATACTTTGAGATGTTTTGTCTGAATATATTGCAGAAATATCAACTTTCTTGTTTCATATATATACCAAAAATGCTTTACGTTTTAGACTCAAAAGTTGGTAGCCAAAAATAGATGCCTGGAATAGACACAATTAAACATTAATGAGGCAGAATGGTCATTACCTTGATCTTAGTTTTATTTTCCTTCCCACTTCGTCTCTAAAAGCACTTACTTGAAGAGTAAAGATATGAGACTTACATCCTGTAATCACACAATCTCAGAATAGAGAGAAGGAACATGAAAAGATCAGAGGGCCCATGTAAATATGCCCAATTTTATATCAAAAACAACTGTACAGGGACCATACTGATATTTTATCACAGTTAAAATGCCCAGATACATTCTTTTTCAGTTTTACTTTGTTCCATTTTCTGCAAGGAACCATAGGCACGTCTGTGTGTGTGTGTGTGTGTGTGAGAGAGAGAGAGAGAGAGAGGAGGAGAGGGAGAAAGAGAGAGACAAGAGAGTTATAACTTGACTGGCACTATTTATCGTCAAATAAAAACTGAAAGAACTGTGGATACTGTAAATCAGGAACAAAAACAAAGTTGCTGGAAAATCTCAGCAGATCTGGCAGCATCTGTGAAGGAAAAAAACAGAGTTAACGTTTCGGGTCCGGTGACCCTTCCTCACTTTTTAAACTTGATGAGTCATTCTTTTACCTAATCAGTTCGAAGTTCAAATCCCTTCTTATAAATTATTGACATGCACAGGATTGCAATCTGGTAAGAGTTAATTTACCCACAGCTCAGTAAGGATATGGAGATGATACAACACTGATTCACTGGGCCTCAAGGAATATATTATGAGGACACGTTTCAAAGAAGATTGAGAAGTATTTTGATGAAGGCACTTCAAATAATTTTGATAGCGTAGATACAAAGACATAATCTATGATAAAGAAATTATTGCCCCGATAGAGCAGCAAAGAACATAATTAGAGCTACAAACAAAAACTGAATTGCTGGGGAAACTTAGCAGATCTGGAACCATCTGTGGCAAGAAGGCAGAGTTAATGTTTCCAGTCCAGTGACCCTTCTTCAGAACTGATTGTAGCTAGGAAAAGGTTGGTATATATGCTGAAGACAGGATGAGGGGAGGTGACAGTAATAAACCATAGGCAGAGTTGGATCCCTGAGACAGAGAAAAATACTGAGGGAGACAAAGGAATGGGTAAAGGACAGCCTGGGAGAATGAATAGCTGCTAATGGGGACCATAAGTATTTGACAATGGGTTGATGTAGTAGCAGCCCATGTGATGACAAGACCTGGTGTGTGGTGGGTTACGGTAAGGACGTGGAAGAAAGTGCTTAAGCCGTAAAATTGTTGAATGAGGTATTCCAAAAGGCTGCAGGGTTGCCATGTGGAAAATGAGATGCTACTCTTCCAGATAGTGCTGAGCTTTTCTGGAGCACTGTAGCAAGCCTGAGTCAGAGATGTTGGTCAGGGAACAAGGTGATGTGTCAAAGTGACAGGCAACTGGAAGCTCAGGGTTATTTTTGCAGGCAGAACTAAGTGTTCTGCAAAGCAGTCACCCAGTCTGCACTTTGTTTCCCTTGTATAGAGGAGACCACATTGTGAGCAGTGAGTGCAGTAGAATAGATTGAGTGAAGTGCAGGTAGAGTGCTACTTCAACTGGAAGATGTGTCTGGAGCCTTGGATAGTGATGAGGGAGGAAGTAAATGTGTGGGTGTTACACGTCCTGCAGTTGCAAGGGAAGATGCCAAGGGCCTGTGAGGACATGTTGGGAGTAAAGGAGAAATGGGCCAAGCTGTCCCAGAGGGAACAGTCCTGCGGAAGGCTGACAAAGCAGGGGAGGGGAAACATGTCTGGTGGTCGCATCTCGCTGGAGGTGATGAAAATGGCAGCAAATGATCCTTTGGATGTTGATGCTGCTGGGATGGTAGGTGAGGACAAGGGGGATCCTTTTGTTACGGGAAGGAAAATATGCAGTGAGGCTCAGACACAGCTGAGGGCCCTGTCAACCATGATGAAGGGGAATCTTCTGTTGATTAGAGCTACACCATTCCGATGCAAAATCAAAACATACTTGTTCATACAAACTGTCAATAGAAACCTTTAACTCTCTCCCTCAAAAGGTAGTGGACACTGGTATAATTGAAACCTTCAGACTGAAATAAAAGATGTTGTACTAAATATGGATATCAAACGGTGTGAATCAACAACGGACAGATGGAGTCAAGTTGCAGATCAGCAATGAACTAACTGAACGATGGAACAGACTTGAGAGGCTGAATGGTCCACTCCTGTTCCCCATAATAACAACAAACAAATTTTTTACCTCAATCGGTTTGAAGTTGGTTTGAAGCCACAGATTCCACAGCACGCAGCAGGAAAGCGTATGCTGCCACCAACGTCAGTTCCAATACCAAGGATGGAGCCACCCGCTGCAATCAAAGCAGCTTCCCCACCCGATGACCCACCAGGTGATCGCATGGCATTAAGTGGATTGATGGTTTGTCCGTAAATGGGATTACTGCACTCGAAGCTGTTGCAAATTGAGAAGGACATTCTTTTAAGGATGATCTGAGACATTAATGACAACAGGAAACAGAAAATGAATGTACCTTCCCATTAGCCCTTCAAAATAATTTTTGTACATTTAGCTATTCAGAAAGGGGCAGTCTTTATTAGTCCACTATCAGCCACAAATGCCAAACAATAGATTTTCTAAACTCACAGTGGAATTCTCAATCCAATTGTCAGCTTGTAAGAATTTCACAAGAATCAACGAGCGTGATTTTATGGAACCATAAAAGTAAGGAACATGGCATCTAGAGTGAAAGGCTTTGAGTACACCTCTGTTTCAATTATTCCCATTGAGAGTGATTATAGACAATGTCCTTCACATTGAAAGGAGGGCCAACTGAAACTGCAAACTTTTCAATATCCCACAGAGTGGCAAATACACAGGATACTAACGTGAACATTCAATAAACAATGACAGCAAAAGCACAACATTGTTTCTTCCATAACAAAGGAAATGTTCCTAAGTCCCCTGTGACCATTAGCGTATACCACAATGACGCACACCAGTACATGTAGTCCTATGACTGAGCAATGTGCAACAAATACCGGTGATGTGCATGTGAATAAAGTGAGTCTAGTGTAATTTAATTACTTACAAGTGACAGTTAAATTTAAAAAGACAACTATGCTATATTTTTGGCTTCTATAGACTGAATCTTACGTTTTCTGGCAAAGCATTAGTTTCTTTTAGTTTCATGGAGGGTTTCTCTCCAGGAGGCCTGCTGAGATTTCTCACCATGTAGAATCAAAGATTCATACAGTCATGCAGCACAGAAACAGACCTTTTGGTCCAATTCGTCCATGTGGACCTGGTTTCCCAAACTACACTAGTCCCATTTGTCAGCGTTCGGCCCATATCCCTCTAAAACTTTCATTTTCATTTACCTGTCCAAATGTCTTTTAAAAGACTTACCAAACTGGTTTCAGTTACTATATACTCCACATCTGTTACAGCTCTCTCACTTGATTCCTGCTGCTACCAGCCACTGTTCCTGGAACAGTTCCCCACTCACTGAATATGCCCTGGTAGATTGGCACCCTGGTGCCAGTGTCATCTTTAAAAGCCTACTGTGCACCTGGACAAGAGTTAGCAGGTTTGGCATTGCCCCTCACCATCATGGCACAGCAGCCACAAAGCCACTCTGTTCACCCCTTCCATGCATTTACAACGCGATTCTCTCACCAGAGTCACTGTGTTGCCAACAGGCCACACAGTTTACCTGTCCTTAGCTATATATCATCTAAACACCCTCTCTAAGTCATTACTACTCTATACTCAAAGTTCACTGTAGATCCATATTAAGCATTGTCCAGTTGGGGAACATTACATACAGGGAACTAATCAAACAATTCTAAGTAAGAGGTTACTACCGTGTCACTTTCTGAATTGTCTGGACTGAAACTGAGCACCGCACTCAGACTTTCAGCTTCAACTACTCCCTGTCTCACATATGGCACACAGGTCCGTAAAAGTAGCAGTACAGATAGATAAGGTTGTAAAGAAGTCATATGGCATGCTCTCCATCATTGTTGTAGGTACAAAGTACAGAGTACAGATATAATGATGGAACTGTATAAGACACTGGTGAGGCCACAACTGGAACATTGTGTGCAGTTATGATCACCACGTTGCAGGAACGATGTAACTGCTGTGGAGACAGTGCAGAGAAGATTTACTTGAATGTTGACAGGGCTGGAGAATCGTAGCTACGAGGGCAGTTGGAGATGTTGGGGTTGTTTTCCCTGGAACAGAGAAGGCTGAGGGGTGACATAATTGAGGTATACAAAATTGTGAGGGGTAGAGATTGAGTAGTCGGAGGAACCTGTCTCCCTTGACAGAGATTTCAAAAACCAGGGGTCAGAGATTCAAACTCAGTGGCAGAAGGATTAGAAGGGATGTGAGGAAAAACTTTTTTATGCAGACGGTGGTGTGTGTCTGGAATTCACTGCCTGGAATTGTGGTGGAGGTAGAGACTCTGAGCTCTTTTAGAACATACCTGGATCTGCGTCTTAAAGTTTGTAAGCTACAGGGCTATGGGCCATGTTCAGGAAGACGAAGCAGGAAAGGGCATCTGGGTGTCTTTGAGTTAGCATGGACAAGATGGGCCAAATGGCCTCCTTCTGTGCTGTATTATTTCGATGGTTCTATGAATTTTTATGTACAGCCAATGAAAGTGAGTAAAGGCTGCAGATTGCCCCCACATGATGACCAATCACTATTTCACAGTCCATAATGGTCCACTGCACACAGCCAAAGTTTCATTTGCGGGGCCTGATGGAAATGGCTTTCAACCAATACTTGAATACTAAGCACACTGACCTTGCATGCAACGCAAATGGATGATGAAATGAACCGGTCTCATCCCTGGGAGGCTGATTGTGCCGATGGAGCGTCACACTCAGGCTCCACTCCAGCTTCCAGCATGGTTCTGTCAGAGAGTCACAGGACACGTGGCAGTCTGAGTCAACACTGTATCATCCTCAGGAAATGCAGTTGGGGTGAAAATCACTGATCCCCCTGCGGCATTGACACATTCCAAGGAGCCGTGCAACTGCCATATTCCCGCCTGAGCTGTGTGCTCCTCAGCCTCCATGGCTGTCTGGTCTTGCCTTTGGCCTTTTTTTATTTCGGGATCAGTGGTTGCGCCAGCATTTCTTACCCATCCCTAGTTGCCTTTGAGAAGGTGATGGTGAGCTACCTTCTTGAACCGCTGCAGTCCACTTGCTGGGGATGACCCACAATGCCATCAGAGAGGGAAATGCATGATTTTGACCCAGTGACAGTGAAGGAAGAGCAACATATTTCCAATTCAGGATGGTAGCGACTTGTAGGGGAATTTGCAGGTGGTGGTGTTCCCCCATACCTGCTGCCCTTGTCCTTCTAGATGGAAGTGGTCATGGGTTTGGAAGGTCCTATCTAAGAAGCTTTGGTGAACTTCTGCAGTGCATCTTGTAGATAGTACAGATTGTTGCTACTGAGTGTCAGTGGTGGAGGGAGTGGATGTTTGTGGCTGTGCTGCCAATCAAGTGGGCTGCTTTGTCCGGCAGGGTGCCAAGCTTCTTGAGTATTGTTGAAACTTCACCTATCCAACTAAGTACGCCATCACACCGATGGACGTGCTTTGATGAGTCAGGTGAGTTACTCACCACAGTATTTTTTAGCTTCTGACCTGCTCTTGTCACTTATGTGGTGTTTATGTGGTGAGTCCCGTTGAGCTTCTGGTCAATGGTGATATTGGGGGCTTCAGTGATGGCAACACCATTGAATGTCAAGTGAAGGTGGTTAGATTGTCTCTTATTGGTGATGGTCACAGCCTGGCATTTGTGTGGCCCAAAAGTTACTTCCCACATATCCTCCTGCATCTGCCTTTGCCTTCTTGGGAAGGCAGATGCAACAGCCAACATCCCACCAGTGGCTGGGTGCCGGATCCACGCTGGCAATAACCTATGTTGGGAACATAAGGACCAAAACAGGTTGTTATTACCTCTGAAATCAGACAGTAGAGCAGATGAGGGCTATACACATCCTCCATACAGTGAGACAGGCAGTGCCCTGATAGCAAGGGTCATGTCCTCATCATTTATTCAATTTCAGCCTCAGCACGTGCACCACTGCATGAAGATGCTTCGCTGGCTGACAGACCAACATGTTACATCCAAAAGGGAGTGGCTGACTTGCACTGACACCCTCTCCATCTCAGGCCCACATCAGTCCTGATTATCATTGCATTGCAGAATCCACTGTAATACTCACAGGAAAGATGACGAAATGATCTGCCTACCACTGCATCTTAGAAAATCTGTGATGCTTTTGGCCAGTATTCATCTCTTTGTAAGTCATTACCACGAACTTCTGTCTTATTGAGATGCCAACGTTTAATTTGTATGGCCTGGTGCAAATGCCTTTCGACCAGCACTTGAATACAAAGCAAATTGACTCTGTATGCAATGCAAATGGATGATGAAATGATTGCAAATTAAATGTAGCTGCAGTTTAGAGACACATATTTCGTGCATTTGTCCTTTTAATGGCCTAGCATCCAGCAGATGTGTATTCTGTGCTTTTGCAGAGTGAACTGGCACTGAATGTGCCTTCTGTGGGTGTTGTCCCATCCATTTTCCAGTTCTAGAAAACAGCAAGCGACAGTAGGGAGCGCAGATCATGTTGGTGCCATCTGCACCAGGCTTTGCCTGGATGTCAGGTACCCTCCTAGAGCCTCCATTGTTCTGTTTTAGCTTGCACAATCCCTCAGCCCATTTCCATCCATGCTCTTCATCTCCCCATCAGGCCATGTGGAGACCCACCACATCAAACTTCACTGCCATCTTTCCTCCTTGCTCCCTGAGCCCCAATATTTTGACCAGGGAATCTATTACAGCAGTAAGGAGGAATGATACTCTTCAAATGAAGCCATTTGGGTAGAAACTAAAAACCAAAAAGGACTAACAGTGCAAGAGAAATAGAAGACAGGATTATGTAGGAAAACTTCAGGTAAGTGTCAAAGTAATAACCCTAATTCTAATCCAAATCCTACCATAGGTGATAGTGAGAGATTTCAACTTCCCCAACATTAACTGGGATAGTCATGGTGCTTAGAGGAGCAGAATCCTTAAAATGCATTCAGGAAATCTTTTTAAGCAGTACATGGAAGGCCCTACAAGAGAAGGGGTGGTCATGGACTTAATCTGAGTAACAAAGCCAGGCAAGTGGTTGAAATATTAGTGGGGGAACATTTTGCAGACAGTGATCATAAATATGTCAGATTCAAGATTGTAGAAAAAGGACAAGAATGGGCCTGAAATCAAAGTCATAATCTGGAGGAAGGCTGATTTTAATAAGATCAGGTCTGATTTGGCGAGAGTGGACTGGGAACAGATACTTTCAGGTAAATCTGTCTCAGAACAGTGGGATTAATTCAAGAAAGAGGCATGGAGATTACAGGGTCAACATGTTCCAATGAAAATAATGGGTGAGACCATCAAATCCTGTGAACCTGGGATATTGGGTTCAGCACTAAATTAAAAGATTAAAATGAGGCTTATGGCAGATACCAAGAGTTCAAAACTGCATAAATCTGAGGGGAGTATTTTTATGGACCAGACCAAACCCCCTCAAGATATATTAAGAAGATAGCCTCGATCCTAAGTAGCGATGGGACACTGGGAAGCACTTTGACATCAACACAGTGTGACAATGAATAGCCCCAATAAAACTGAAGGCAATGGGGATCCAGTGAAAAACTCTCAACTGGTTGGTGTTGAGCACAAAGGAAGATGTTTGTAGTAGTTCATGGCCAATCTTCTCAATCCGAGGACATTATTGCAGGAGTGTCTCATGGTAGCTCTAGGTCCAACAATCTTTAGCTGCTTTATCAATGGAATTCTTTCTGTTGCAATATTCGGAGTAAGGATGTTCATTGTTGAATGCACAATGCTCATGGACCACTCACAAATCCTCAAATACTGAAGAAGTTCATATTCACAGACAGCAAGACCTGGACAGTATCTAGCCTTGGACTGACCAATGGCAAGTCATTAAGGTTGCTTCAGAGTACAACGGGATATCGATCAGATGGGCCAATGGGCCAAGGAGTGGCAGATAGAGTTTAATTCAGATAAATGTGAGGTGCTGCATTTTGGAAAGGCAAATCAGGGGAGGACTTACACACTTAATGGTAAGGTCCTGGGGAAGGGTTGCTGAACAAAGAGAACTTGGAGTGCAGGTTCATAGTTCTTTTAGATAGGATAGTGAGGAAGGTGTTTGGTAAGTTTGCCTTTATCAGTGCATTGAGTATCAGAGTTGGGAGATCATGTTGTGGCTGTACAGGACATTGGTTAGGCCACTTTTGGAATACTATGTGCAGTTTTGGTGCCCCTCCTATAGGAAGGATGTTGTTAAACCTGAAAGGGCTCAGAAAAGGTTTACAAAAATGTTGCCTGGGTTGGAGGGTTTGAGCTATAGGGAGAGGCTGAATTGGCTGGAGCTATTTTCCCTGGAGCGCAGAAGGTGAGGGGTAACCTTATAGAGGTTTATAAAATCTTGAGGGGCATGGATAAAGTGAATAGCCAAGGTCTTTTCCCTGGGGTAGGGGAGTCCAAACCCAGAGGGCATACGTTTAAGGTGAGAGGGGAGAGATTTAAAAGGGACCTTAGGGGCAACTGTTTCACACAGAGGGTGTGCATGTATGGAATAAGCTACCAGAGGAAGTGGTGGAGGTGGGTTCAGTTACAACATTTAAAAGGCATCTGGATGGGTACATGAATATGAAGTGTTTTGAGGGATATGGGCCAAATGCTGGCAAATGGGACCAGATTAATTTAGGATATCTGATTGGCGTGTGCGAGTTGGACTGGAGGGTCTGTTTCCATGCTGCACAGCTCTATGGCTCTGTTTGTGTCATGCAGAACAATGCCAGATAATGACTATGTGCAACAAAAGATAAAATGACTATCACTTCTTGATATTCAGTGAAATTATCATTTCCAAGTCTTTCACAATCAACATTCTGAAGGGTCATCAATGACCAGGCATTGAATTAGACTAGCAAATAAATATTGTTGTCTAATCATCCAAATTAACTCTATTTTTCCACACTATCCTCATCTTCCTAAATTCCTCTAGTACACCAAAATCCTCCAATATCTGCTTGGACTAAGTTTCCTGGAGTCAACAGTTCCAAAGATTCATGACATTTTTGAGTGAAAAACTTTCTCTTCACCTCAGTCCCATTATTCTTAAATGGTGACCCTATGTTCTAGGTTCCCCCAGTGTAATAAAATATTTTCTCAGCATCTCAGTGCCAAACTCCTTAATAATTTTATATCTTTCCATTAGATCACCTCCCATTTTTGTCTAATCCCCAGGAAATATAGGCCTAGAGTACTCAATATTTTCTCATAGGACATCCACTCATTCCAGGAACCAATGTACAGAACTTTCATTCTGCTCCCTTTTAGCAAGTGTATCCATCTTTGGGCAGAGAGACCTAAAGTGCTACAGATGTGGTCTCAAAATTCCCTGTAGAATTGTATAGTTGTCTCTTGATTCTTCTTCAATTGTTTTGGAATAAAAGCACATATTCCGACAAAAGGTATCTCCAACACTCCCCGAAGGGCAACTAAGGCTGGGCAACAAATACAGCCCCATCTTCAAACTCAAGAAACCACATTCAGAGCAAAAAATAAGCACCTACAGATATAGTACCAATTTCAAAGAGGCACTGAAAGGTATTGTGTTGCTAACTTGAACTGCTTCACCATCAGATAATAAGGGTTCTCAACATACATTGCAAATTCAAATTATTTTTCAAATATTTTTTCCACTAATTCCACTAATCAAATATATGAATTCTTTATATATATGTATATAGATATTTATTCATACATAAGCAACACTGTACCAGAAACAGTGTGTAATGACCATTTCAGTAGTGAATAACTTCAGTGTTACATTTCTATCTTTAGAATATAAATTCTAAAGGAATATTCAATGACAAATCTTATGTTGATACATTCAAGTCTATACGATAATTATCCTGTCTTTATTCTGACCACAATCATCATAAACCAAACATTTCTCCTGGTCCTTAATGACTCTATAATTTGCAAAAGTATTCCATTGAATGTTACCTGAGTAATGTCTGAGGAACATTGGTTTTCACAAATGGAATCGCTCCTTGTTTCTTTAGCACTTGAACTATTACACTGTCTTCACTTGCAGGTCTGTTTATGTATTTCCTAAGTCCATGAGTTGAATCATGACCCTGTATTAAAATAATTTTAGAAGAGGTTATTATTGCTAATCCATTGGGTTGTACAAAATTTTGACTAGCTAGCTTGTTGAAACCCAATTAAAATTTTAATTATTGTCATCTTGCAGGGAACATCTGAATTATCAGTAAACTACAATTCTCAGGTGGCCAAGAATAAACAAGAGAAGATTGAAATTAGAAACATGGACCTGGATTTTATGGCCACAAATTGGACGTATGCTGTCCCCAAACCATGCAAATACCACATACAGAATCATAATGCTGTTACCGCAATACAATACCATCACAGCAGTCTGAACAGTTACACTAAGCAAAATGTCCTGATGAATGCAAGATGAAAAGCTCTGACAAAATATGTCTTTTCCAGCAAAGACTATTCACTGAAATCATAAGACAGTTGGCAATGTTTCAAGTGCTGGGAAAGGGGACATAGTAGGCAGATGCCCAGTAGGCATCATTAATCATTGCTTGTAGCATTCTGCGTCTGTTCTGTTCAGCTATTTTGTATGTTTGTGGGTTTTGAGTGGAGGTTTGTATTTCACGCTGTGGGGCAGTACCTGGTTCCTGAAACATTTGTGAAGAAAGTGAAGTTCATGGGTAGCGCTCAGTCGGTTGGCAAAGGTTTCGTATTGTCGGGCAATTTTTAGCATGTTGCGCCCATAGGTGTTTAAGGTTTTTGCAAAAATTTGTAGCTTGGGTTGTGGGTGATGTTGTTGACTTGCTCACCGAGCTGACTGGTTATCGTACAGATGTTTCGTCTCCATGCTAGGTAACATCATCAGTGAGGCCTCCGATGAAGCGATGTTGTTCTACTCCGCTAGGAATTTATACTGTCCAGTCTGTTATGGTGAGTTGTGTCATTTCTAGTTCTGTTCTGTTCTCTACGAATGCCTCAGGAACCAGGTACTGCCCTGCAGTGTGAAGTACAAACCTCCACTCAACAACCCACAGGCATACAAAATAGCTGAACAGAACGGACGCAGAATGTTACAAGCAATGATTAATGATGCCCATAACCGACTTTACAAGTACGAACGGGAAATTTCACGCCAAAAATCACAGTACCTAAACACTACGGACCAGCAATGGACCACAGCCCTAGAACAGGCCGTCAAATAACAGCACGGTGGCTCAGTGGTTAGCACTGCTGCCTCACAGTGCCAGGGACCTGGATTTGATTCCAACCTCAGACGACTGTCTGTGTGGATTATGCACATTCTTCCCGTGTCTGTGTGGGTTTCCTCCGGATGCTCCGGTTTCCTCCCACAGTCCAAAGATGTGCAGGCTAGGTGGATTGGTCATGTTGAATTGCCCATAGTGTCCAGGGGTGTGTAAATTAGGTGGAATTAGCCATGGGGAATGCAGGGTTACAGGGAAAAGGGTAGGGAAATGGGTCTGGGTGGGATACTCTTCGGACGGGTGGTGTGGACTTGTTGGGCCGAAGGGCCTGTTTCCACACTGTAGAGATTCTATGAAACACAAAACCAAAACAAAGAAGAGACACAAGCTACAGGAGAAACTTACTAAACTGATCCACCACAAAGACAAAGACAACAACAAACAGGCCACATGGATAAGAAACCTATCCATCAGATGACTCACAGAAACTGAGAAAGCTGTCTTATTACGCAGACTGAACTATAACCACAGAGATGCGAACAGAACAGACTTCATGGCCGCCCTCGAAACTACATTAAAAGACAACAGACTCATGGATGAAAAACAACAAGCCATCTGACAAACTATAATCCCCACAGTACACAGAAGGAACGAATGGGACACCCTGAACAAACAGAGAGAAAAGCACTAGATAAACTCAAGAAAGACAAGAACATCATAATCCTACCAGCAGACAAAGGGTGCATGACCGTCATTATGAACAAACCGGTCTATGTTGAGAAAGCACAGGCACTGCTCACAGATATGGTGGTCTATAGGCCACCAAATAATGACATCATGGTGGGGCGGGCAATAAACATAGAAATAGCTAATGCATGTATAAATGGTACAGCTATTACCATGGGGGATTTTAATCTACATATCGATTGGTCAAACCAGGTCAGTCATGGCAGCCTTGAGGAGGGGGTTCATAGAACTCATCCGCGATAATTTCCTTGAACAATATGTAATGGAACCTACAAGGGAGCAAGCTATCCTAGATCTAGTCCTGTGTAATGAGACAGGAATAATTAACGATCTCACAGTTAGGGATCCTCTCGGAAGGAGCGATCACAGTATGGTCGAATTTAAAATACAGATGGAGCGTGAGAAGGTTAAATCCAGTACCTATGTCCTGTGCTTAAACAAAGGAGACTATGAAGGAATGAGG